AACCCTAAAAAATTTCTAACCTTAAAAAATTTGGTTCGAAAGTGGAGCGGCCCACCATAAATTTCTCCAATGCACTAAATGATCAACTCTGGGCCTATTGGTTAACTTTTCTTCTGCTATATTTTAGATATCTCTAAAAATATTTCACATTAAATTAAAATTCGATCAGTAGAACTCAACTGTAAGGTAGGATATAAAACTGATCGTAGCTGTGCATGCATATTTTTAATTTCATCTTAGGGAATATTTACGTGTTTGGTGTCTTATCTTTATTTGTAGTTCTACTTTATCTCTGGAAGATTTGTTAGAGCAGTGTTCCCCAAGCATTTTATCACCGCGGACCTGTCAACGTTTGATAATTTTACCGCGGCCCGCTGGGGGGGGGGGCGTTTTTTGTTTATATTTTAGATTATTTTGATTTATTAACTTTAATTTAATTGCATTTAAGCATGCCTTCAAAATAAAATACAGTTACACCAAAAAATAAATATAAAGTGATTTTACATTTTAGCTTACTAGAACTCTAAATCAATGAGAACCCTGAGCTTGTTTCTTTGCAATGAGACAGTTCCATCTGGGGGTAATCGTAGACAATGACACCCGAAGTGTGTTGCTTATGTCCAGTTTATTCCTTTGTTTTGGTTGCTGCTACTGCAGAAAACCCCTCTTCACACAGATAGGTTGTCAGAAAATTTTAATGGAACACAGATATTTTTAATTTGGGGTATAAGCCGAGGAATTTAAACTCAGTTTCAAAATGAAATGGGCGGCCTGGTACCATTTGATCCACGGACCCGGGGGTTGGGGAACACTGTGTTAGGAGACACCTGTCATCCTAACATTTTTGCGTTTCAACGCGCAATTGATATTTCATGTTGTATGTAACTGTTTTATCTAATTTACACTTTTACCTGATTTTATTCACGTTTTGAACCAATTTCGTCTTGTTTTTATCGTATTTATATTTTAACTGATTTTATTTACTTTCGAATGCACTTGTTACGTTGCTGTACAGTGCATTCGAAAGTAAATAAAATCAAAATATCAGAACGCTTTTTACCTTTGATTTGTTTTGAAACCGATTGTTTGGCGCAGCATGTGCTTTTGTGGACCTTGTACCATTTAACTGTACATTCAATTCAATTCCGTATTGAAAACATATCTACAATAAATTTAAAGTTTTATTTATTTAATTAATACATATTAAACGCAAATTTAAAACCGATGTTAGTTGTCGTTTTTAAACGTAAATTTAAGACTGATGATAGAAATCGCTTTAAAAGACTAATTTAAAACTGCTAGGCATCGTTATTTAATACAAATTCAAGATTGATATTAGACTTCATTATTTAATACAAATTCAAGATTGATATTAGACTTTATTATTGAATACAAATTCAAGATTGATATTAGACTTCATTATTGAATACAAATTCAAGATTGATATTAGACTTCATAGTTGAATACATATTTAATACTGATGTAAGACGCATCGTTATTAAATGCGGGATGATTTTTCATCATTTAAGATAGACATTCGTTATAAGGCAAATTTAAGACTGATGTTAGTCATCGTTTTTCAATGCAAATTTAAGACTGACTTCAAACATCGTCATTAAATACAAATTTGAACCAGTAAAATAATTTACACTTTCGTGTAAAATAAGTTAAAAAGTATGTACTTTATTTTACTAATGCTTCAATTGTCGAAATCTATCCAAGTTAGCGAAGCTATTTTGTCCTAAAACTACAACACGAATTTAAAATTTTATTCAGAATTGTAATCGATATATTTTGAATATTCACCAATGTCATGTTTATGATCCTACAAGAAAAAGTTTTCACGCATTAAAAGAAACTCGAAGATGTAGAGGTTGATTTTAAATTTAGATAATTGAAATCTCCATTGACGCAAAAGATGTGAAATGATGCATCTTAGTTAAGCAATACTTTGGCCTTATTTACGATAAAATGGTTGCCAACTGCGAGAAAAATGCTACTAAGAAACGTCAATTCAGTATACTTTGAACCAAGAAGTCGTTCTAAGTTCCGAAAGCGTAATGATTTATGTGTTTTAGAACATTTACTTTCAATTTCCGAAATTTATCAGCATCTTAAAACGATTTTTATGCTTTCTGATTTGCGCTTATTAGCAGATTATTCGTTTCCATTGTTATTTTTATAACACAATTAATAACTGCGTCTATAATAAGTTATAGATATTGGAGGCCTCTACTCTCGCCATCTTTGATTTTAGGTTAAATTTTTAATTTGTGTCTTCCGATATTTTTTTGTATTTAACAAACTTTTGAAGATATACTATTATTAGACAGCACAATACCTTTATAAAAAGGTGGAAAACAGAGAGGGTGCTTTGTTAGATAAAGCAGAATGGCGCTTGAAAATTTTTAGTCTATAATATTTTCCTCAAAGCAACATAGCAATAAAATGATGAGATTTGTGGTTTTTCAGTAAGTAATTTATAACTACACGTTTCTCGATTTTTAGATTCTTAAACATTTAATCGTGATGAAAACCGATTTAGATAACGATAAACCTTTTTTTTTAAACGTTAATTGTATAAAAAACAATGATACTTATCAAAAATTTTGAGACTGACAACTGTATACAATTTAGCTGTTAATTGCGGAATTGTATTGGCATATTTTTGAAGAAAAAAAATTAGTTAAGAATCTAAAATATCGCACACTTTATATCCCAAATTGCGATTGGGTGACGGACTTGTATTTTACATACGTCGAAATATATTGAAAAATTGAGTAAATATCCATTATCAGTTTATTCGTAAAAATTAAAAAAAGAGAATTAAAAGCATAAATAGAATTCCCTCTCACTATCTCCACTCCTTTACAGTTTAACTTGGTAGCGAGAGGAATTGCCTCTCAAAATCTATACCATTGTTTTAGACCAGTGGTTCCTGAACTTTTTTGTCTTGACCCCTTGCCATGTTTTTCGGTTTTGGGTAGACCCCCTGATTACCAGATATTGATTTTTTGCAAATTCATCAACTTCAAATGTATTTTTGACAGCTGGTATAGAGCCACTCACTGTGAAAGATTTAAATTTCTAACTGTAGTGAAGTGTAGTGTGAAAAACTTTAGAAAAAAAACACATGTTAATTTTATACATTTATTAATTAAATTCAAACTAATTTAAATACTAATATAATTTAATTAATACGTAAATGGAATAAAATAGGGCACAATAAAACCCATACTCCGNAATCATTATTCAAACATTTTTATACATTTGCATAATGAATGATGAATAATGACTAAATTTTCATATGAATAATCATTCAGAATAAATTTAGTCATGAATAAAATTTTCATGAATGATGCCCATCACTGAAATAAGGTTTATTTTTACTCGGCAAAAACCTTTTAATGTAAACCTAAAAAGCTTTGGTATGCGGTTTACGTGTAAAACTTCTAACCTTAAAATGAGATCGGTAACAATCTGCTCTATTCTACACACATTACCCTTATCCAAAACCTTGGAAAACAACCTTTTATATAAAAACCTTAAATCGAGGTTGACTTCGGGTTTTCAAGTGTGAAAAAATCCTTCAATAAAGCTAGTCTCAAGGTGAAAATAATCTTAAATCTAGGTAATTATAAGATTTCTTTTCGCAAAGTCTTGTATGCTCAGCTAAAATCCACCTTGTCACGAAATTTTAGTGGGCAATGCAATTTGATCCTATTTGTGTGACGTCATTTGTGTGACGTCAGCTAAAACGTCATTATGGACCGAAGAGACAATACTTTTTCAAAAAGCTTTAAAAAATTATTTTTAATCTTTTTAGGATGAAAGGTTAGAAAGTGCAATATTTTTGCTTTATAACAACACCTTCTTTAAGAAGATCACGAAACGCATAATTAATGTACCTCTGGAATGTACTAGGGCTATTACGCAACCCCAAATGGCACTTTATTTTCATGACAATAAAAATAAAATTCTGACAAGTTGCCGTAAGGTTACATGATTAGTATTTTTGAAATATAATATATATTTCGAAAATATTAATTTCGCAAATTTTCAGAGCGAAACCTTTAGGAAATAAATGTTTTATACTAAAGACATTCAATCAAATAATATCATGCACTTTGAATTTGAGTTAAAAATTTTTCTAGACAATGTAATTGAATGAGAAATTTTTGTAACCAAAAATTTAAACATGACAAGGGATGGTTTAGATTTATTTTACAAATCTGCACCACGAAACGTTTTTTTCTTCTTTTTTTTTTAAATAAATGCTTTTTTACAAAAGTCATTCTGTCAAATGATTCCATGCACTTTGAATTTCAGTTTTAATTTCTTTCTAAACATGGCAGTCTAATGTGAAATTTCTGAATGAAAACGTGACTAAAATTTTAAACATTACAAGGAATGGTTTAAAAATTTGATTTGCACCACAAAATTTATATTTTATGGGCAAAAATAGTTTCTATGCATGTCTTCATTTTTAAAGAGTTTTTAGGGTTTCATAGCCGAAAAAATTTGAAAACTGCTGCAATAGATACCAACACGTTCGATCGCTTTCAAATTTTAATCATGCATTTTATACGATTGAGCAAAAATAAGATTAAAAAAAATAAATTCATTTTTTTTAATAAATGACAGTGATAATTTTTTTCCTAAAGCTTTGTTCTTTTAAAACATTTTAAAATTCGTTTAGCACAACTATTAAGCGTTTCTTACTAATAATAATAAAAAATAAATTTAAAAAAAAGAAGAAAAGATAAATTTAAAAGCGCATCTTATTATTTTGATGCGTAAAAGGTGTAAAATTAAACGAGAGATTAATATCATATCGTCGATATTTTTTTTCATCTAAAAGAAAAGAAAAAAAACTTTCGATTTCCAGCGTGTACGTAAAGCCTCTTACATCACATTTTGCTCAATCAATGAGACGGCGTTTAATGACGTCATATCCAATGAAATTCGCCGTTGCCCTGCGTTGTTTACAATTTCACTGCAGTGAAATAAGAAGCTCATTCAAGATTCTCAACATATAGGTCGTTGTAACCTATGCGATTGAAAGGTGTTCGTAGCATTGTATATGGGAGTTAGTAAAAAATTAAATCTATACTATAAGCAATAATTTTCAACACTCCTTATAGTTGTTTATTCAATTGAATTGGACAACAGTTTTTATCCACAAGATTTTATTCTCAAACCTTGGCAACATATTGAAATAAAGGTATTTTATTCCATTTATCATTTGGATAGAATTATTAATTGATGCTCATTTTAAAATTATTATGCATGAAACATAACAATTAAAAAAAAACTTTTGTCTTTAAATAAAAATTATAATTTCCAAATAATGACGTAATAGGTATTTATTACGAAACAAATAATGTATAATGGGTATTTATTTTGGGTTTTTCAGATGCATTTTGTAAAATTTTTTAATTTTAAATGTTAAAAATCCTGCAGAATATTTTCTTTTTTATATTTACATGTACCGTGAAGCTATTCCTATTGTGATTTACTATAAGTTTTTTAAAAAATTTTTTTTTAAACATAAATTATTGTTTAAAAAAGCATCTACAATTTACCTGTTTAAAAGTCTAAATATTATTTAACTATAAGTTAATTTTTAAAAAATAAAAACTTATTTATGGCTGTTGATGAACTGTACACATTTAGTAGATCTCTTTATTATAGCCACTATATCGAAGCTTAGTAATTTTGAACACAACTCGGACATTTTAATGAGAATTTTCCGCTGTGGAAAAAATTGTAATAAAACGATTATGCATTAACTATTATGCTTATTAAGTAAAACTATTATTATTATGAAACGGCAGCTCAGATGCCTCTCACAGTAACAGATATATATACGATAATTAACCTATAACGATAGTTAACCGAGTTAAAAACTGTTTTTTTTAGTGCATCAGTCCCAACAGCATAAATTTTATATTATCATAGGTTCATTAATTTTATCGTGGTTTCGGCCAATCTACCAATTTAAAACCCAAATCAGGCAGGGAAATTAATGATTTCTTCTCGTCTTAATGGCGGACCATTTCGAATTTCGACAAATACTTTAATGCTTTTGGACAATTTGCAATTCATCTTTGAAATATGTATAGATTATTGGAGAGCACCCACACCCCACCTGGCAATATTCACTCTTCGAATTATAATTTAGTTCTGTGGTCTTTTTATTTAAGTTAATAAATTAAATTATTATTTTTACAAGGCATACTAAGCATTGTGTTGTACTACTTCAAATCTCATCGGAAGATTAGTTGTTTTTCTTTTATACTATATTTAATTTTCTTTTCTTAAAAGAGCTAAAATAAAGTGTTCTTAAACTCTTAGATTTTATGACATAATTATTATTATTTATTAAACTAATTAAACTTAAAACTTTCAGATTGGGTTTTAAAGATGTACTCAAAAATAAAGAGTAATGGAGAGAGCAAAACTGGATGGATACTTCTGCCTGAGCAGATGGACGTTTTAGCGAAAAAGCCGTACATATACCATGCTTCTGCCGGCTCTATTCTAGAACTTCTTTTTCTACAAAAGTACGTTGACTCTGTTTTATTTCATAATTAGGAACAACTTTTATCTAGTGGCATTCTCAATTTTTAAAAATCAAGCCAAATTTCAGAAATAAATTTATTAGGATATTCACAAATTGCTACCCATACTGTACATTTTGAAATCCCTGTTAAAAATCAATTTTTAAACTAAGGAATACACATTGGTAGGAGCTATCGGAGCTATATCGAAATCTGACAAATCACTGTACAGACGAAGGTGGGTGTGCAAAGCTGTTTGTTTACATGTTGAAACTTGAAGGTGTTTTTAATAATCGTCCTTCACCTCCTCTTCGTTTTCGCCTATTAAGGGCGGTCATTACGGGACACCTGTGCACCCGAAATGAGCGTCGTCCTAACAAATTTGCAAATATATTAATTTCATCTTCTGTAATTTTCTGCATGAAGATATTATCACTTTCAATTTTTGGTGCAGTATTCGTGCAGAAATTATGCGTGAATTATTAGAATTAGAACCAAATCTCAAAGAAAAATCTCAAGAGAAAAATAAAATAAAAGCAAGAGTGAGAGCAAGTCGTTAAACACAGTTGGATTGTAAATTAGCGTCCGGGGACAAACTCAGTTTTTGCGCCCCCCGCGCAAATGCCGTGAAAAATAAAAGGGCGCACTTCAGGATCGTTTTATATTTTAGATAATGTCAACATTTAAATCCAATTTACAATGGGCATTTTTTCTTCTCAATTTTACCTTGAAGTAGATATTGCAACTTTACATAATGTTAAAGACAACTTACTTCGATAATTTCATAAATTTCACTTCGGTTTGGTTTAAAATTCAACAATGTTATGTCATTCATACAGCGTCTATTACACTTTTTGATTGCGTTTATTGTTTTTTAATGAATACTTCTCCTTAAGACATTTTTCAGCCAATATTTTCCCAATTTGTAAAAAAAAAAATTTAAAAAATACAATAAAAAGTCTACCTGCAAAGCAAATACAATATTAAAAGACATCTTGTTCAATTTTTTAGGTGAATCGTATAAACATTTGATGAAGTTATTGGGGCCCTCAATTATGAAATAATACTGAGAATATTTAAAAGAGAAAAACACGTTACTCTGGAATACAGTTTTAATTATTTTTTCATAAATTTGTCGCCCCTCTAAAACTGCGTCCCCGCAAACTATACCAATACTGTAACAAAAATTTGAACTCATTACAACTCTTTTATTTCTAATATTGTTTCGAATTTTGTATTATAGCATCAAATTGTATATCAGCTGGTTCGTCTTTACTTAGATATTAATATGTTTTAACAATATCTAATATGAAAGGGGGGGGGGCGTTTTTAGACTTATGATATTTCATTCCCCCAATCCCCAAACTAACTTTAACGCAAATTTATCAGTTTTTGCTATAAAAATGTAATTTTTGTTACATAACGTTTCTTGTATTATTTTTGATTATTGGGTTTTTTTAAAGTTAAACACACAATAATTTTAATAAGATTACCTGACAAGTTTTGAGATTCCGTTTGATAATTTATAAATATGTTGCGCCAATAGAAAAAAAAAAATGTTACTCCACAAAACTTTTTATTGTTACTCAATTGTGAAGAAATCCTCCCAAAAAGCATGTAACCTTAATGCAACATTGTCTCGGAATTTCATTTTATTTAGGTTTACATTAAAAGGTTTTTCATGTGGAACGAAAATAAACCTTATTTTGCTATCTGAACAAATAACAAATCTATAATAATGTAAGAGGAAAGTTTTGGCAGCAAAATCAATCCCAGAAAGCATGTAACCTTAATGCAACCTTGTCTCGGAATTTCATTTCACGAAAATGTTTGTACTAAAAACCTTTTTTCAATGAAGCAAAAATATTGCAGTTTCAAACATTTCATTCTAAAAGGATTAAAAATTATTTTTAAAAAGTATTGTCACACAGGTAAAATGGTCACTTAGATCCATAATGACGTTTCAGATGACGTCACACTAGCGATGGGATCAAATTGCATTGTCCATTAAAATTTCATGACAAGGTGGATTTCAGCTGAGCATACAAGACGTTGCGAAAAGAAACCTTATGATTACCCAGATTTAAGATTATTTTCAGCTTAAGACTAGCTTTATTCCAGGATTATTTTCACGCTTGAAAACCCTAAGACAACCTTGATTTAAGGTTTTTATATCGAAGGTTGTTTTCCAAGGTTTTTGATTAGGGTAATGTGCGTAGAATAGAGCAGATTCTCACAGATCTCGTTATAAGATTAGAAGGTTTACACTTAAACCGCATAAAAAACCTTTTTAGGTTTACATAAAAAGGTGTGGAGTGAGTAGTTATCGACCATATCCACCATAAAATCGAGTTAACATGTCTTATATACTATTGAATTGGAATTACATTTTTTGTAGTGGTAGATACGTTGCAAAGGTTTTTCATGTGGAGTGAAAATAAACCTTATTTTGCTATCTCAGCTAGAATAATATAAGAGATAAGCTTTTGCTGCAAAATCAATAGATTTCTTTTCCAATGTGCGTTTAAGGGACAAATTTTACAACCATTTTTAAACATATTTAGTTACTCTTTATTCTCACTACAGGTTCTGGATGTGGCTAGCGAATTTTGTTCCTCTTCATGTGGCTCCATGTGTCCTGACTTGCTTTGGATTGGGTATCAATCTTGCTAGTTGTTTAACTCTTTTGTATTTCAGTCCTGATGCTAGAGCAGAAGTAAGCTTCATTAATTACCTAGGAGATAATTTAAAACAGGGAGAATGCACATCACATATTTTCCATCAATATTTAGCACATAAGCTGTGAAATAATTGTTCTATTTCTTTTCACCTTATAATATTTTTAACAAATAATGACCTTCAGTATAGATAGAATGAAATTAATAACACTAACTATTACGTATTTAATAAAATTTAAAAAAAAATTTGTTTTGCTCAAAATAAATTTTTCAATTCAAAAAATTATTCTTCAAATAATTTTAAATAAATAATCCCAAGAAATAGAATCGGTAAGATTGAAAACTTCATTCGTTTCAAAAATATATTAATAGGTTTATAAAAATAATATTTTTCAAGTGCTTAAAAGCATGCACCCATTTTCAAAGCTTGCCAGGCGTGAATGAAAAGAAAAAGTGATTTGAGATAAAAAACAAAAAGTTGCTAACGAAAAGTGGAAAAATAAAGGTGAGAAACAAAATTAGAAAAGCACCTCTGCTACCGAAGTTTTTCTAGTTTTGTTTCTCATCTTTATTTTTCCATTTTTCGTTAGCAACTTTTAGTTTTATATAACAAATCACTTATTTTTCTCGTTCAAGTCTGGCAAGTCTTGAAAATGGGCGCCTTATTTTGAGCGCTTGAAACAAGTCGACTGTTATTTCTATATCTTTGTAAACGAATGAAGTATTGATTCAGGTAATTTTTAAATTTATTGTATTGAAAAATTTCATAAAAACTTATAATTTTCATAAAATATTTAAGTTTAATTAACAGTTTTATTTATGAGCTAATCTAGTAACACTATCACATTTGCTTTTTCTTCAGGCTGAAAATTTTAAAACAAAATCGAATTTGATATATGTGAATGATTTTATTTGCTATACTGTTTATGAATTTAAAATGTAATATTTTACATTTAAATCATAAAGACCATTTTTATGAATAAAAATATTGCAAAATATTTTAAAATCGTAAGCAATAAGTTATTTGTATATACAATGTGTTCTGAAATTGCTGCCTTTATTACATATATTTATAGAACCCTTGTGAAAAATTAAGCAGAAGTATGTATGCATTGGTCATGGGAAAGTAATGTTTAAGAAAGGAAATTTTTTTTATTAATACCTAATGAAGAAAAGAAAAACCTTAAAACCTGTTTGATTGCCTGAGATAATTAGGAGGAGAAAGAAAAGCGTTAGAAACACCTTTAAGTTTCTCCCAACATTAAAACTAGTTATGATCTTTTTAGTCACGGTTTATTCAATAGTGATTCATGAGATTTTGATAACCTTTTTGTTTTTTCCTCACTTAAATATTAATTTGCAAACTCTCAAATGTACATTCTTCTTTTTTAACTTCATATTTGTCAAGAATTTTTAATATATATATTAAGGGTGATAATAATGGAACAGGTTGTATACTATTTTACGTTTGATACAATTGGCTAAATTTAAAAGAACACTTACATGATTCCTAAACTATGTTAATTTAAATTTGAATAATTTTTCATTATAATCACTTCAGTATTCAAAAATTAACAAAAAACTTAATTAAATATTTTATAATATGTGTACAACATTCATTAATACCAGGGCTGAAATTTTTTTTACAAGATAAAGAACTGGAAGTAAAAGCTTTTCATTTCTAGCTAGTTTTCAGGGAGAATTAAAATTTCCATTACTACTGAGATTAGTAGTTAGTAACAAACAGTAAATAAAATAACTTTATTAAAAAAAAAAGCCACTGTTATCGATTCACATTCAAATGTATGTTGCAACTGTTAATTGATTTTATAACAACAGATATTTTACTTCTTCGGAATACGAGAAATGAAAAAGTTATACTAGTAGTTTTTTCTCTCTCGCTTTTCTGACCAACTTTCAGCCCTGTTTATATAGTTTACAAGTTTATATAGAGTATAGAAAGTTTAATTAGTGAAACGTATTTTACTAATTACAATTACTCTTCTCTAGGCACCATCCTGGGTGTATGTTTTATGTGGTATTGGAGTTTTTCTTTATCAAACACTTGACGCTTTAGATGGCAAACAAGCAATTAAAGTACAAAATTCTCCGATTGAAGAAGTATATGATCATGGCTGTGATGCTATTTCTACAAGTAATATACATTTTTTTTTTCGTCTTTATAACTTATATAATTTACTTTAATTCGCGGTAAATAAATGCTTATTTAAATAGTAATTGAGTTTTAAAAGGTTTAACTTTAATTAGTTTTGAAATTCAAATAAATTAATTTCTTTATTAAACTAAATTCAAGTATTGAGTCTATCATTTACTTAAAGAGTACTATTTTATTTATCTATCATTTTGGTATTACCTATATGTATTACTCGTAATTAAGCAAAATGTTTAAAATTGGAAACATGAAAAAAATGTTGACTTAAGTAGAAGAAAAAAAGTTTATTATTTCAATATTACTACTTGCAAATTTAGAAAATAAAATCTTTAAAATTGGAAACATGAAAAATTCAATGTTATCTATGAATTGAAATGCCATAACTTGCTTTGCCATAATGTTGTTCACATCATTAATAAATACTTTTGATATTTTCAATAATTGATAAAATAATTCTAGTAGAAAAAAAAGAGTTTATTGTTTTAATAATTGGTAGCGTGAAAAATTCAATTTTATTCATGAATTGAAATGCTATTCAATACTTTGACGTATTATCACCTATGATATACTGTACAGCATTTTTGTGATTTAATTTTCATATTCATTTGTTCAATTCAAATGTATAATTAGCTAAGTGTATTCAATTTCTTTTCTAGTTTTTGTTGCGCTAACAACTGCAGCAGCGTGCCGTTTAGGTAGTTCTCCTTTACTCATGTTTTCATTTTTCATTGCATCCATGTTAGCATTTTATACTAGCCATTGGCAAGATCACGTGACACATCAAATGATTTTTGGAAAGTAAGTTTAGCATTTTATTTAACCATTTGCCATACTATTTTCACTAAAAACACTATTTTCAATTTTGGGAAATAATTTATATCTTTCTTCAATCTCAATATGTTGACTAAGAAATTTTTTTTTTTTTGCTTATCATAGTAAAATACAATTTAACAGACTGCTATTGTGTATTAAAAACAGTATTCTGAAGCTAAATTACTAATCCAGCGTGTAAATTCAAAAACGACATTTCAATAACTCTAATTTAAAATATACTGTTACTGATAGATTATTGTAAAAGCTTATAATTAAAATTTTCAAATCTAGAATTCAAAAGTTTGCTAAAGTCCTATCCAATACAAATTTTAGCAACTTTGTATCTTTTAGCATACAAATAACCTTAACGAGAAATTTAATAAGTAAAACATTTTATGATTTTAGATACCATGAATTATGTTTTAAAAAGTACCTATAAATCAATATGTGTCAATTGAATTTTTGATACATTTCTTCACAAATGTAAAACTTTATGTATTTAGTACTTAATAAAAATAAAGTGATGTTCTTTGTTTCTTTTACAGAATTGATGTTTCAGAGGCTCAATTTTTGGTCATAGGTATTCATTTACTAACAGCTATTTATGGTCAACAAATATGGAAAACAGAGGTACAGTAATTTTAACAAAAAAAGTCATTTTAATCTTACTTGATCAAATTTTTTTTGTAAATTTATGTACACGTTTCTTATGTCTCAAGGTTTAATTTGGGTCGTACATTTTTGGTATAAATTAAAATATTCTAGAAAAAAAAACTCAGAACTTAGAAAAGCACCGTCTCCATCTCAAAATTTTAGTTTTTTTTAAAATTTATTTTTTAAGCATTAGGTTTTAACTAAAACACAATTTTTTTTCTATAACAATTAACATTTCAAAATTATTACTAGAAAACATTTGCTTCTCTATGCAAAACTAAAATTTTTTTTAATTCTTTTTTTTTTAAAAACTATTTATTTCATAAGTTATACTTTAGCTTTTTCAAAACATTATTTCACTCAAAAAATATACAACAAATTAAATTTCTGTATTCTTCTTCTAAGTTTCGAAACAAAATAAATCTAAAATTGAAATAAGTTTATTATAAGATTTGCATTTGAATATTTGTAATCACAGTCTGTGGGTAAATATATTTCAAAACTAATATTCCTTGAATTATGAAGAATTTTTAATAGTTCAGTTTTAATTTTCACATTTTCTAAGTTTCAAACGCATAGAAATCAAACCAAGTCTACAAAAGTTCTGTGAGTTCATGCAGTCGCATTCGATTACTTAATTCTTGACATTAATTTAAAAGCACAGACAAGTTTTTGTTGCATGTTATCAATGAATCCAGGTACATGCGTAACATGACGGATCTCCCCCAAATTATATCAGCCATTATAAAAAATATTTTTATAATTTAAAATCATATATATGCATGTGTGTATATATGTATGCATATATCTGTGTGCGTATAAATGCATATGCATATATTAAGTAAAGAATTCAACATTTTAAAGCAATTAAAAATGATACTTCCAATGGAAAAACGCACTTAGCAGCTGGGAATCCAAAAGGAATTGAAACAAATGAGACAATGAAAATGAGAAAAAAATGAATAAGTATGACAACCAAAGCTGGCGTCTTCAGGGGGTACCAGCTCCGGAAGTCATAAAAGCTAAACCTTTTCTATTGAGAGAGCAAGACAAAAGTCTAAAATTGCTCTCTCTGTACCCCAAAGGTTTTGCCAAAGTCCAGGAAAAGAATGCAATACATAATATACAATATAAAATACATAAAGCAAATACATAAGAATAAAAATAAGACAAATACATAAGAATAGTACGAACAAAAGCTAACTTGAAATAAAAATCCAATAACTAGATAACACAACTGACTGCGAGACACAACTAAAATAAAATAAACATAAAAACAATGTCCCCTAACCTGCCCAGTATAAAGAAAAAAAGGACAGAAGTTAAGAAAGTAGTGACATGTATGCATATCTATATTTCCTGACTTTTTAGCAAGGATTTTCTTTTCTTTATTTAGATTTTTGGAACTGAATTGAGAATGATTGTGGGTGCTTTCATGCTGATCTCTTTGTGTGTAACTGTAGTATCAAATGTTACTTATGTTTTGGGGAGGAAGACCCCTCTTGATAAATATGTTAAAATTCAAAGAAAAACGGTAATATTAGTATTTTTTTATATTATAAAACTATTAGTGTATTCAAAACCAAAAAGAATATTAAATGGTATTTGTTTTTTTCAGAGCTTACAGATCTGGTATCCTCTAGTTCCAGTTACAGCTCTTACTCTTTGTGCTTTAAGAGCTTATTCAGCAGGCTTATTTTATTTTAGTCCATGTATATTCATCATTGCATTTGGTTTAGCTTACGCAAAAATTACAGTTAAACTTGTGGTAGGTATAAAACACTGTCAAATATATTCTAAATCAATTGCAACGTGACATTCAATAAATGTATTCAGTTCTCTTAAAACACTTCAATGATTTGGTTTTATTAGATTTCTATCTTTGTATAAAATTTTTGTTTCAATGCAGACAAATTAACATAATTTTACATTTTAAAATGATTCATCATCAGAATAAAAAGATAAATGCAACATTAAAAATATATAAGTTTTTATAATATTAATGGTTCACTAGATTTATAACTTTAATTATATTTTTAATATAAAACATTCTATGTTTTGTCATTGAAATAAATGAATCAATTAAAAAACATTAATTTTCAGAAGGTACACTTATACATTTTGAAATAACAAATGCAACACTAAAATATTAAAGGTATGCCACATAAAACTGTTCTAAAGCATAATTTTATTGCATGGCACCATTTTATGTTGGTCACATATTCACATTCTCGCTGAAAATGTAAAAAATATTGTTAACTTTTTCACAGTGCAATGAATAATCTAATTGATAAAACATTTGTATACATGAAAATTTTAATCTTTATTGGTCTATTTTTTTCTCCTGAAGTCTAACCTATTGTATGTTTTTCAGATGACAAATGTAACATATGCAGATATGGATTTATGGGATTCTAGTTTAGTTGCGCCATTTTTACTGTGCCTCAATACATATCTACCAGCACCTTATAAACTACCTCTTACTACAGCTCTTTTATGTGGTCTGGTATGTATTCAGTTCTGCTGATTATGTTTTTCTTTTTGTTTATAATTTTATTAAAAGCTGTTTTCTTGTCAGGATGTTTTGTAATCAAAATGAAATTTGGGGGTATTTCTTCACCTTTCGATTTCTCCTTATTTCCTATTGCAATCAAAGATTTTTATGCTTTCATTATGTTATAGATATCTTTATATATAAACCAATAAACTCATTGGTGGCCTTTAATCCCCTGAACCTTTTTATAAAAAGCAAAAGACTGGTAAACTAAATTAATTCATTCGTAAAATTTGTCTTGTAGAAACAAGACATTTGTGTTTATCATAAAATATTAAAAATATAAAAACTATTTACATTGTAAATTTATGCAACTGATAACTTAAAAAGAGTTCTTTAAGCATATGGTATTATATATATATAAAGTTACATTTTAAATCACTACTAAATCTTGCCTTTTTGTCCAGATAACAACATAAATCCAGATTGGGTTTAGGGCAGTCTATTATATAACACACTGAAAATATAAAAAAAGTAATTGATAAAAATATTCTAAAATTAATTAAATTTAATATAATTTAGATTTGACTATATTTAGATTTGAATAACAGTATTGAAATCTGAACAATGAATTCCTTAATATTTATACATACTTCTAAAAAATTATATGTTTTAATTATATATACATATTTAGAAATTCATTATTCCCTCCGATTTAATACTAATATTTTTGATTAAAATATTTGTTTAGATCAAAATAAATTTATTTTTAGAAGATATAAGTTATTTTAATGTAATTTTATTCCTAGGTTTACAATTTGATGGATGTGGCACGATATTTTACATATGTGAGTTGGGACTTGCGGGAAGCTTTAGACGCATGGATCTTTGCCATCAAATACGAACCAAGCCACCCTAAATCGCGTAAAGGAAATCTAGGATTTTATGTCAATGGTCTGAATAACTCTGAAATTTTATCAAATTCATCAGAAACCTCATAGCTTCATATCTAGCACTCAATACTAGATTTGTGATACATAACATTGAAAGTGATTGAGACGAAATATAAAGAATGATATCCCAGATGTGAAATGTGTCGGTCATGTACAGAAATGTGCAGAATGAATGCTGGTTGAAAAAAAGAAAGAAAAAGATTACCATAAAAAATGAAAAGACACAAGTCTTGCTAAAATGGATACGTTTTACTTAATGTAAAATAAATAATAAACTCAAAGCTGCTTTATTTTCAAAGCAGTTTTTGTGGGAAAAGTATAAAACTATCGACATTACTTTCACTGCCATTGTACTTTGTTAAATCTAAAATTATTTTAAATTATTGAAGGACAAGTGTGAGTTATGTGAAATAGAATTTAGAGAGTTTATGCCAATGTCAATTTTTTTTGTACATAGTGTTAATATTGTTTGTAAGTGTGATTTTATAAATGTATTGTTCTATGAAGATTCTTTTATATTATTATTTGGATATGTGTGGCACTAAAACATAGATATAATTTAGTATGACTTTTGTAAATAGATTTATGCATTTATAAAAGAATGTGATCAATGTGGACATATAGAATGTCTTAATAGTCAATTTAAATTTACAGCCTATATATTTTTTTCTACACCCTTTATATTTTTTAAACCCATACCATCAACAATCATTTTTATTTCCATTATTTAATAATGAAGTACAGAGAGCCATACAATATTAACACTGATATACAATATCGTAAATTTTATTAATTAATTAATTAAATTTAATACTTTGCCAAGAAAAATATTTGTGAAATATGAATAAAATTAAATGTCTGGTTACAAATACTCTTTTAGAATAAAAAAGAGTGAGTTGAGACATCAGTCTTTCGCCTGAGTGTAATTTTTCTATAAAAATAAATTATGGATATTTTTTCTAGCATAAAAACATCTAACATTAGAATGTTCAAACACAAAACTGATGATGAATATCTTTAGCAGCCATATCTTTTTCTACAAGCTATAAGATATGTAGAAATTTTTTTTAATGTAAATAAATACTTTAAATTAAACAATTAATATTAATTATTATACAATTAAAAACAATGCTGCTTAACCTTCAAACAAATAAAAGTTTTTAAAATTTTTTTTTGCTATGGCATTGTGCCGGACCTGGTCTTGTAGTTTTCCACCTTGATACACATGCTATTCAACATAGTCAGACTATATATATTTTTTCTTCTCTTTTTAGTGAGACTAGGAACATATTAGGCTTGGTAATCTACCCTATATATCTCTTAGTCATTTGTTTTACGTCAACAAAATGGAAGAATTCAGTAGTTAAGTGTTTAAATTTATCATAGTTCATTGGAATCATTTTGATAACAGCTTTCAAGTGCATTTTGTTTGGTAGTCAATAACTGTAATAGAGGAATATTGTTACTTTCTACAAAATTTCTTAGACCGATAGAGGGCTATATGAAGAACCAATTAGAATTCACTACATGAATACTGGATGTCATACCTAAATATTAATAACTGATATCAAACATTAAAAAAAAAACTATTAACACCTAAATATTGAACACTTGTCAAGGTGAAAATTATAGGGGCTCCATAATTCCCAAGTGAAATGGAATAGTGTTCAAAAGAATTTATTTGAAACTAAAAAGGCATATCATGAATCTACATATGAAAGATTTTAAGGCTGACTTATCAATGTTCAATTTTTTATTTCTTTATAAAGTATTACAGAACGTGGAACGAAAAAGCTATGGCAGAATGTAGATTTTATTATTTTTGCTATTTGGATGCGGTGACATGTTTCAATTGTAATGGAAAACTTTTCCAATGAAAACTGTCAGGTGCACTATTGTTAGAACATGCAAGATATGTTTCGAATTGTAATTTTGTAAAAACGTTACCTGATAAGAAATTGTCACCCCAGATAATTGAATTCTATTATAACATTGTTAAATGGGGAAAAATACATATTAATTTTTAGAATTTTAATTTGCAGAGATTTGTAATTTCTGAGTGTCAAAATATATACCTCATAAAAGAGAGATTGTATAGACATAGTGTAAATGTTTAGTATTTTTCTTCCCATAATAAAAACTATTTATTACACAAATATTGACTATTTTAGTAATTTAAAGTAAAAGTTATTAGTAATTACTTTATTAAAAAGCTTTTAGTTAAGCAAAAGAGAAAAATTGTAATAAATAAAATGATAGTTTGGAAAATTATGTTTAAAAAATTAAATTAAAATTTTTAATAGAATAATCTCTTGTAGAATATTTCACTCTATTAATTTTAATATAAACTTTGATTATGTTTTTCATTTGTACCAAGTGAAAATAATGAATATATAGATTTGCCCATAATAAATAATTTTATTTGTATTTTTAGGTATAAAAATACTTTAAAAATAATTTCATGACAAAAGGATTTGTAAAATTAAGAAAAATAAAGTATTTTAAAACTAAGTATTTGAATATTTTCTCCTATATCTGAGATACTTCTTGTATATAAGCAGCCAGCACTTTAATCTGAAAAATGAAAACAGTTAGAAATTATTTTTGTTCATAAAACAAACTAAGATTTCATATGAATAAAATTCTAACATTCTGAATTAAAATAAAAGATCAGTATTTTCGTCAAGTTCTTAGAATTTTGTCTGCATTTCTAGTAAGGCCATTTTCCCTTGATTTAATATATATATATACAGTGTAAAGTCGCGTATCCGGAATCGGTGGGACTTCCAGAAGTCTGTATAATAGATTTTTCCGTATAATAGACCCCCAAGGTAAACAAAGCTTAAAATGATTTAATAAATTATCTGAATCCAAGAAGCAAAAATAAATAAACATTATTTTTAAGGGGAATAATGTTTTAGCATTAGAATATCTAATCGATCAAATATAAAATATTAGGAAAAAAATATTATTGCTGAAAATATGGAAAACGAAAAAAATTTAACAGTTATGCAAATATTAATCCGCCATTTTGAACTAGAACGATTCAAGCAGGAAGGGGAAATTCATGTCATTCTGGAACAAAGCTTAAAATGATCTAAATCTAAGAAGCAAAAAATAAATAAACATTATTTTTAAGGGGAATAATGTTTTAGTATTAGAATATCTAATCAATAAAATATGAAATATTAGAAAAAAAATATTATTGCTTAAAATATAGAAAACGAAAAAAAATTGACATATGAAAATAATAATCCGCCATTTTTAACTAGAATGATTCAAGCAAGAAAGGGAAATTCCCGTCATTCATTAAGGTGGGTAGGTGGAGGAGAAAAATTCATTTCCTCCTTATTTGTGAAAGAAAATAAGTGTAAAGAGGAGATCATTTAAGTTGAGGGTGGGGAAGTAACAAACTATTGTTTTCTCTCCAATCATTGGCTATTAATCAAGCATAAAGGCGGGGCATACTGATCGGGTTCTCTTTATTTTTTCTTCTACGACTGAAAGAATCTGCTAACGAAAGAATGTTACCCCCTTTTTCCCCCTGCCTCCTAAATATTACATGGTATGGGGAAGAACGAATGTTTTGTTTCTCAAGGACGTGTACCACCTTAACGCTTGCCCCCTTTACCCTTTTCCACAGTATTTCTTCTTTCAATAAAAAGGTTCCAGGAAATGCCCTCATTTGCGGTCTTTTGAAAACAAATCTCCCTTTTTTCCTACATTCCAAGGGAGGAGCGTCACTAACGGTCACTCAATGGTCTTGGGGTAGATCTTCACTTCCCCTTTCTGGTGATTTATGGGTTTGATGCGTAAATCAGGGGTTCAGTGCAAGCTAGAAAAAGAGAGAAAGTGTCAAAGACTTCTTTTTTTTTTTTAAGGAAAGGGGAAGATGGATGGTTTGTTTATTTTGATTATTAAAAAGTGTCAGGAAAATCGACCCTTCCGGGAAAGGGACGTTACACTGTATATATATAAATATATATATTATATATATATATATAAGGTCACCGGACAAAAAATTAGTCACCCTAGTGCGCAAGCATTGATGAATCGTTAAGTTTTGCTAAATGACGCGGTGGTCAAGTGACGTGTTCAACTGCAGGCTCACTGCTTCACCGTGATCAAAGGCAAGTAGCCATCAGTGAGATATATTTGTTTGAAACGAAAATTTTGTATAAATATGGGTAAGAGTAAAGATGAGACAGAGTGGCAAATAGGGGCAATTGTGTTTGGCCGTACTCATGGTCAAACGGTGAATGAAGTTGCTGGATTTGTTGGTGCTTCGATGCGGACTGTTCAACGTGTCTACAAGCAGTAGTGTAATACACGTGGTCACAAAAGACGACATCAGAATTGTGGTCGGAAAAAGATCCTGCATGAAAGGGACCGGAGACGTATTTCACTACTTGTCATTCAAAATCGCTTCCAAACCCGACAGGAATTGCTTCAGTTTATAAATGAAGGTCCATCCCAACCTGTTAGTGAGAGAACATTGCGACGGGAGCTGCATGCAATGAACATTTGGAGCCGAACATCTCATAAAGGGTCATTTCTAACACAGGCACATAAAGCTGCACGACTTCAGTGGGCTAGAAGTCACCGAACATGGCCAGTTGCAGACTGGCGAAATGTAATATGGTCAGACGAATCATGTTTTTGCCTTTATTCAAAAGACGCATGTTGACAAGTGCTACGAAGAATAGATGAAGCATTTCATCCTAACTGTGTGCAAGGTCAGGTGTAGGCCAAGGGTGAGTTTGTCACGTTTTAGGGGTGTTTTCCTTACTACGGATTGAGTCCCCTCACTGAGGTGCCCACTAACATGAACCAACATGTTTATTTGAACATTCTGGATGATTAGATGTTGCCTTTCAATCAATATTTTCATAAAATGTGTGTTATCGATGCCCCTATGCTTCAAGATAACTAAACAAAGTTCATCTGTCTGGAAGAATCTGTGACTGGTTTTACGAACACTCAGATACTCAATTACATCTCGACTGGCCTGCAAAATCACCTGACTTGCACCCCATTGAATATATGCGGGATATGTTGGAACAACAGGTCAAACACTGAAATCAGCATCCTCCTAATTTGGGGGATTTGCGTGATCAAATCCTCAACAAGTGGTTTATACTAGATTCAACGTACCTGCAAAACCTTGTGGACTCACTTCCTAACCGAATTCAGGCCGTTATCGAATCCAGAGGCGGTGTTATACGCGATTAAATGATGATTTTCGTGATTTCTCTAAGGGTGACTAATTTTTTGTTCGGTGTGCTTATAAATATATAGTAAAAGCTTGATATAACAAGTGCAGTATATTAAAAGAAGTTTACTAGTAGTATTTTCTACTAGCACGAAGCACAGGAAGTATTTTCTTGGGAAAATACTTCCTGTCCTGCTGTTAAAGTGAGCAATATTATATGAAAGAGATTAAAATTGAAGACATTTTTATTTATTTATTATGCAGAAAAGGAAAGACTTTAAATCGTTTACTTCTTGTATGAGCAATTTATGGACAACTACTGACTATGTTATTTTCCTAACAAACAAAAAGTTCTTCCACTATTCTTAGAAACTCCGTAACGTACATCAAACTGTACCATTTGTTGCTCACATATCTATCATCCACCTTCATTTTCCTTCTGGACAACATACTATTAAAATCAACATGCACTGTTATCAATGATGTCGACAGGTATCACACTTCATTTCCTTCTTGTAAAAAACTAGTTATGGTTTGGAAACTTGTGGCTCAAAAATTTCTGTCTTTTATAAATTAGAGAGCTACATAATTTAATCATCAACTGGCAGGCAAAAGCAGCTCTAAGTAGCCATTTTAAAACTAAAAATTTTCAAAAGTAAAGAAGTAAATATGTCTAAAACATTTCATATTTACATACTTTTTATTGCTAATTAACATTAAGTGTGTGTATTTACTTAGATCGATAAGCTTGCTATAAAGAAGGACATTTTTTCCTGCCATTATGAATTGTCATTATATAACAGACTTTTGTTACATGTACTTATATATACTATATTTAAGCAAAAATAATAGAATAAAGGTCAATTTTATCTTAAATTTTTTGTCTTTTTTAAATTTTTTACTTAAAATTTACATCAAAAATTTTATGACTTAACTTAATAAAGTATCATTATACTGATATTTACTCTAACTTTATAGTAAGTATTTTAAGAAAAAGCTTAGCTCTTAAGAATTGAAATATTAGATTTTAAAATTGTGTGAATACGAATCTTGATGCATTATATTTAAATTGCACAAATAGGAATTGTAATATTAGATTTTAAAACTACGGGTATACAAATCACGACTTTGGATTTAAAACTCGCCCGAATACAAATCGCAATATTGATTTTAAAAATAAGCAAACGCGATATTGGATTTTTAAATCGCATGAATATGAATGGAAATGTGTAACTTTTAAATCAGGTAAATACGAAAATCGCTGTTTGATATTAAAATCATGTGAATATGAATCGCGATATTAGAAGCATTCTGGCACAGTTCCAAATATTCAAAACGGCGAAAATCCTTCAAACCAAAAGAATCGAATAGGTGGATCTCTGTAGATTGGTAGAAGAATCGTATGTACGCAAACGTCTCATTAACGGGATTTAGCAAACTTTCAAAATCTATATTTCAGATAGAGGAACTCCGTGAAATATATTATAAGTCTTTAATTTCTTTAAGTCTGCTGCAATGGTGGTGAGACACGTAGAATTTTGCAAAATTCGCATGTTCCTCTCCTAGTTTTTAGACAAGGAAGGATGATACGAAAAACTCAGAATTGTGGGGTACACACGGAATACAATCACCACTGTTAAATAAAAGGATTATACTGTAAAAGGAGTGTAACAGAAGCAAACTATGAAATAATTAAATGTAGCCATGGGGGACACAAATTATGAATTAAATGAAGATTTTAAAATGATTAATGGACCAATTACTTTTGCACAATACTGAAATACTCAATGTTAATCTTTGTATTATATATGAATTTCAATAAAGCATAATTTGTGCATCATGAATTAAAAGTATATATAACAATCAGAAATTGAAATTTAAATCTATTTTTTCACTGTTTCAAATTTTTACTGTAGCTGTGTTTTCTGTAAAGAAATATATCTACATATAGCTTTGCTTGATATAACGTCTTTAGAATATCGAGTTGTAACTAAACTAATTATATCATTACTTAAAATCTAAACAAATCTATATTGAAAAATTAACTCACCCCATTGATATAATTGTAAATATCCATTTTTTCATTTTGTGAGTGAGCCCCATCATCACATGCTCCAAGACTCAATAGCATCACATTTTTGCCAGTGGCCTCTTGAAAGGTAAGAGTAACTGGAATGCTTCCACCTTCTCTTATCAAATCTGGCTCAACGTTAAACACTGAAAAATACTTTATTTTAATAAACTAAAACTATCGATAGTGTCTCAAAAAGTAATCTGACGATTTCATTAAAAATTTTATGTAACATATTCTTCACTATTTTCAATTATTTCCCAGACTATGGTATAAAATCAGGGTGGCACATATATTCAGATCAAATAATTCCAAGACTTTTGCTAGATTTTCATAATGAAGGGTGTAAATTTAATTATAAATTTTTAAATCATATCTTATTCGTATATATAAAAGATATTATAAGCACTTATACTTAAAATTAAGAATTGAAAATAAATTTTTCTAAATTTTTTTTTCTCAAAAAGAAAAAAAAATGGACCTTAAGGTACTCCAAATTCAAATTAATTCACTTCCCCTGACTTTTGGGCATTTAAATTTTCAGATTTTTTCTAGATTGATTAAAATTTTGTTTTCCCTGTTTTGTGGCTGCCCAAAACAGCTGCACATCTACTGTGCATTAAAATAAGTCATGAAAATTTAAACATCTAATAACTGTAATAAATATGAATTAAATACATATTTGTAAGAAAATAAAAAATTAAAAAATGTTTCATATCAAATTATTTTTTATACAGATTATTAGAAAATGCATTTTTAAAAGAATGATACAAGTATGTGGGCTTGTAGTGAAGCTATTTCATATAGTTGTAGAGCCATTTTTCTATTTTTTTTTCCTTATTTCTTTCATAATGGTGGTTATTATTTATTTATTTTAAATACTTCTGGTAGCAGCATTGGCTATTCCACAAGTTACATTTTTCTCTAATTAAACTTCAGTACATTTGATTGCAATAAGATAATTAAAAAGAATATTGATGCAATAAAACAATATGTATCAAAAAGTATGTTCCAAGCTTGCTCCATGAATTTATCAAACAAATAACGAAAGCCTATACATGAATAACTTAATATTATATATTAAAAAAAAGAGATAATTTATAAAATGGTAACAATTTCCCTAAACTAAGAATAATGAGGTAATAAACTTTTTTTTAAGAGTTTTCATTATTTTTGTGTCAGAACTCCTGTTGTTTCTTTTTCCTTGTTTCCTTTGAAAAAAAAATTATATTGAAGCAGCAATATTATAATAAATAACAGTGAAACAATTTATCTCAAAGCAACTTATGTAATATTATTTAAAAATAGGAAATAGTATACCCTAAAATAAAAGGCCATAATTTGAAATTGGGATATTTAACATTGCAGTTTGCATTATATTTATAGTCAGAACTGAAATCCATAAAAGTAACAGAAAATCTCTAGTGGTTGGCAATTCTATAGTGAACAAGGGTAGAACAATTTATTCAAAAAAATTTATAAAATAATATTTAACTGCAATAAAATAAAATCTGTAAAAATTAAGGGTCTTTTGTCACATGTTTTAAAAAAAATTAAAGGATCATTTACAATGTAAGTAGCATACTTTAAAATAAGGAACCACTAAAAAAATTGAAACAATTTTCATTATCCTTGGAGCCAGAACTGAAATCTTCAGGAATAAACAGAGATCTATAGTATCTTTAATAGAAATCTAATTAAAATTCTATAGTAATCTATACCAGGGGTTCCCAAAGAAAAGGTTACGCAGGAAAGCTCAAAGGGGTTCCAAGAATCAGGACTTTTCTTATAAGCATTTTATGATTTTGGAAACCTGTAATTATGTCTAAACAATTATCCATTATTTATTCAATACATTAGTTACTATTCATTATTTATTTATTATAAAGTCAATATTTAAGCAAAATGTCAGGAGGAAAAACAGCAAAGTTAAAATTTTTTTTAAATTCAAATAACAATGCATTGAATAAATTATGAAAAGAATATACATTTATAATAAATTGCAATAATATTTCTCATTCATTCTTTTGTTGTATAGTATTTCCAATTCTTAACTTTTTTAATGTTTATAATACATTTTCGCGCATTTATAATAAGTTTCGATAATATTTCTCATCGAACTTTCCAATTTCACAATGAAATAACTAAACTCAACAATATAGAAATGTCCTGATATCCATTCTTAATGTTTATAATACATTTTCAATTTCAGTTTAATGAAAACCATAATAGATTCTATTCATTTTCAGCTTATGCATACACTAAAAACTAATTCAGAACTAGACAAGATACTGCTCCAGCATTGCAATTTCAATTGTCTGACGAAAATTCTAATTATAAAACTATTAATCATAAAGAGAAGAAAAAATTTCCTCTTTTCAAATTAGCTATTTTCAAAATAATTAGTAGTCCTATTGAAATAGTTAGTTGTAAGCTAGGTTATTATGTTCACAATTTCTAATGAACTTTATTTATGAATTCAAGGCTCTGTTAGAAGAAGGGAGATCATTTAAGGTTCCAGAGTAAAAAAAAATTAGGAACTGCAGATCTATACAACCTTAATGTAAAACAACGGGGTGCGTAGCCAAATCTTTCAACAAAAATAACCACTTTTTAAGCACTCAAAAATATTTTTAAGCACCAAGTACATTAACAATATGCAAAATAATTTTCAAAGACTTTACATGATTACGATAAAATAACAAGTTTCTGACAAAGAACTCTTTTCTTGACTACATTAGCCATTATAAAACGATCAAGAGATTTTTTGGTTCGATATCAGAGGGTGGAAAATGAGGCCTGAAATTGAGAGTATCTTGCGAAATGCAGCATAGTTGCACATTAGAGTGCAATAATCTCACCGAACCCAGCTCAGTAGACGCACATGCAGACTTGCAAGTATTTCATCAAATATATAAAATGATTGGCGCTTTCATACGCTATGGATTGACGGTAAGTCGAAATGGATTGTTGTTGAATGAATTGCAAAAATGTTGAATAGAACAATGTAAAAAGCACACTTTTGCATAATACGTGGCGAAAATCAACATGGTAAAGAAAAAAATCTCCACTGAAAAAAGCACCTTTAAAGGCTTTTAAAAATCGTAAATAAGAGCCTTTAAGCACTTTTTAAAAATGCTACGCACCATGAACAATTTATCTTAAAACAACTTGTAGAATTTATTTAACAACAATAATTAAAACTGAGAATTTTTTAACACAACCAGCACTGCTTCGGTAATAGGACGTTCATTTTCTTATAATTTTTTTTACCTTTCTTCATAGCATTTCTTCCAGCTACATAATGTGGATGATCTGGGTCACTCATCCAGGCTTTACTTCCTTGCAGCATATAGACTCTAAATTGATAAAATAAACTACTTAGAACAAGAATTCCAACTTGTCAATATTGTAGCAGAGATTAATAATTAATCCGTTAATTTTTTAAACTTGTTTTTCTTTAATAAATACAGAAGAACACAGTCCTTAAAAAAGATAAAGGAATGACTATTAAAATCATAGTAATTTGGGCAATCAATTAAGAAACAATTATTTTTTATATTTCTTACTATTTTTTTAAAGATTAATTTAGCTATTATATATGTAAAAGAAAAACATCTATAATGTGCATGAAATTTGAAATTACGTTGGAAATTTGAAATTAAGACAAAGAATAGATGAAAGCATTATAATTATATATGATTTCAAAACATGAATACCAGAAACCAAAAATTAAACCTAAAATATATGCATAACAAATTTGAAAGAAAAAAAATTACCAAGATAAAAGACGCAAACTTTATTTTAAAAATATTAAAATTATTTAATTTCATCAATATAAATCAACAACCAGTGAGTAAAAGTCTTCACATTCAAGATATGGATTTACTAGATGTACTTTTTAAAATATTTAATAAATTCTTTTACATGCTTCTTAACCACTAAACTATCTTGAAACCATTTTTATCGTAGTTATATTTGATACATAATTTATTTAAAATATTCCTTACATAGAAAATAAATGGGCCTTAATTTTACTTATCAATTATATAGAAATTTAGGTCTGTGTCTAAAAACTGTAACAATTTAGTTCAATTTGAATAACAAATAAGTATGAGACTAAATTTCCATAAATTAAAATTCAATAAAAAAAACATTCTTTTATTTACTAGCCATTAATAGCATTAGTTTTTGAGTTTGAGAAAGTAAAAACTTTAACCACTTACAGAATAGTTATGGTTTCAGATCCAAATAGAGCTTTGCCAGAAGAAAATGAAAATTTCAGTTGTTTCTTGATGGTTATAAGCAGTATTTATTGTTATTTTGCTGCCAAATAGAATTTCCCTGTCATCAAAATTCCAATTAACTAGAGTTCCAAAATTTCATCTGGACTTTTGTGCTTGATGATAAATATACAAATTTCTATTATTTTCACTACTAAAAATAATCATTGTCAAAGAAAAATTTTTGAAATTTCAACTACTTTATCACAAGCTCGAATACTCACATTCTTAAGCACTGTGCAAATGGCACTATAAGTTTCATTTGTTACCTGACTGCAACAAGCACAACTCATCACCATATTATACACAAATGAAATATATTTTTAATGAAAATTTTAACTGGAGTTCTATGCCCAATGACATTATATGTTTTAATTGTTTCTTGGCCACTCGAGGCAAAATTTATGAAGCTAAATAGATTTTATCGGAGTTTAAAATTCTTACCAGTTCCCAGCAAGATAAGGTGTTTAAATTTTATTTAAAGCTCTGAACCTGATTACATTTCAATACAAAAAATTGTTTCCTAAATAACACAAGCAAAATTTATGATTAATCAAAATTTTGAGCACTTACTGACAAAAAAAAAAAAAAGCAGTTCGACAAAACTAGAAACAAAATTGACAAAAAAAATATTTCATTCAAAAACTATGCTTTATAGTAGACTAAAAAAGATATTTCATTGTTATAAGACCCAGAATAAAAATCGCAGGGTGTATCATTTTTGTAAAAACTTCTTTCCTCACCTCAAAAAAAAAAAAATAATAATAATCTCCCACACCTTTTAAAATTGATGCACTCTATCTTTTGTTAACAGGTTTCAATTTTTTAGTCAACTTGAAAAAAAATAGCTTTTGAAATTTTTATATTTTCTATTTCATTTAACTTAAGTGCTAATTTCAAAAAATTTATTAACTCACTTAAGTTTGTTGGGAGTTTTTCGAGCAGCATGTACTTTTTGCAGGTGATCTATAACCTGCTGTTCAATTTTTTTAGGATCTTGGTTCGGTACAGTTCGAATAGAAAACTTTCCAATAACTTTACCAGGAATAACTGTTTTTGCTCCTGCTTCACTAAAAGCTCCTTCAATCCCTGAAAAAAATATATAATTTATATTTATATAATGATTATACTATTGTTGTACTATTAACATTCAGTTTCAGGGCAGAAATAGTCAGTCAATTTAGGGGCAGAATAGTCAAAAGAAGGTCATAGGTTCTGGTCTGGCCAGATTTCCATCCTTTCAAGCATTATCAACAGGGGCTAATTCACTTATATCGACTCTGATGGATAAGTTTTACAGTGCTGCATAGTTTACAGTGAAAAAGTTTTGCTGGATAAAGTTTTACAGTCAAAAGTGTTCAGTGAGACTTTAAAATTTGTAGCAGATTATATCATTTTGTGTTATTTACCAAAGAGCACAATTTCCTGAGCTCACTGCTCACAATAGACTGAAGAAAGCATAAATGCATAATCTTTAAAGATATTTAATAATTTATTTGCTCAGAATTAACAGAGCTTGACTCTAAGGCTCAATTGACAAATTGAATTTTAGTGCCAAAAGGCAGTGGTTAACAAACATGAAGTCTTAAAAGTATGGAAGCATTTCAAATATTTTTCTCTTTTAAATGACTTCTAATAATATGTGTATGATATTGGAACTATTGTGACATTATTTTTAGTTAATACTATTACTGTAATTATTAATTTGCAAATGTTTCACCTTTTGAATTTCTTTTATGATTTTGGTAACCAAAAAAAGTTTTGTACTACATCTGTTAAAAACTATTCATACTTTTCATGAAAATAGTATTAAGCAATAATTTAAGCCCGACTAATAAATTTAAAATTTCATGCCCTTGTATTAGAACTGAGCTACTGCTAGAAAGTTTTTTCTTTTTTCTCTAATGCAATTTTCCATGCAATGCGGCATTTCCTTTTTCATGTAAAGCAAAAAACCCAGTGGTAAGTTTTTTTCTAAAGTTACATTGGAGAGTTCCTTAGATTTTAAAAGCCTTACACCAATCTATTAAGTGGATTGAATGCTCCAGTATTAATCAATGGGGAAAAAATAAAAAATTTAAACTAGAAGTTCTATATTTACCATGCAATGATAAAGATGGGAATCGCCATCTTCTCATTAATGTTTTCTTTTTGTCTGCTCGAACTACTTTTTCACAGCCTACATCACATCTAAACTCTTCCTGTAAAGAGAAATGAAATAAATACATAGAATAAAATAATTTATCAACTTAAATATATAATAAGAACACATGAAAATACAAAAATCCTCAAAGTATTTCAATTAAAAAATAAATTTTCGTTTTTAGAATAATTCATGTAAACCACACCTGCGAACTTTTATGATTTTTTAAAAATGATGTCTAGCAGTAATCGATTTAAATTTTTAATAAATAAATCTTTGTTTGAAAATTTTATTTTAAAATTGTTTTAACCACAACATAAAAAACATATATAAGATGCCTTAGATGTGCAAAAGCCATGCAAAATTTCAAAATTGCTAATAACTTTGATACTTTTACTCAGCTTTTCAACTACCACATTAAAAAATCTAAAAAAAAATTTATTTTTTTTAAAAATCGTAAAAGTTCGCAACTATGGTGGTTAACATATTGTGCAAACTTAAAATTCATTCAAGGGAAGTTAAAAGACTATAAAAATTTACACTTAAAATAACTTATAAAATTCATTATATTTTATGTTCAAGAATGAAGACTTGAAAAAATTGCATTAAATAAAAGTCCCTGCATAGTTGCAGTTGAGATTACATTTCCCTACAATGTGAGACCCAACTAAGATTTTTCATGCACAAAAAATACACATTTAATTTAATGAAATGAAGAAATATAGTCGTGATGAAAACGGAACACTTATTTATGATAATACTGAAATACTAAGGAGATGGAGAGAACATTTCAAAAGGGCTCTTGAAGGAAAAGATACTTTAGAAGGGACAGAGGAAGATATAATTAGGACCCCACAAGACAAGGAACTAGAACCAACTTACCTGGATGAAGTTGAAAAAGCAATAAATAAACTAAATAACAACAGTTCGACAAGACAGGGTGGCATCAATGCCAAACTCCTGAAAGTAAAGGAGCCTAAACACATCAAAGAAATACACACCATTATAGTCTGTGTATGGACTATGGAAAAAATGTACATTGAATGGGAAGATGGTTCCATCTGTTCAATGCACAAGAAAAGAGGCAGGTTGGACTGTAAGAACTATAGAGGAATTACTCTTTTGAACACATACAAAATATTGACAAACGTCCCAGCAGAACGACTTGTTACTTTTACTTGCAGTGCAATTGGGAAATACCAGTGTGGATTTAAAAAAGGCAGATCAATGACAGATTAGTTAACACAGCATTAGTTAAATCGGAAGTCGTCATGGAGAAATCTTCAGAGGAAGGCATTGGCTCACATTGGGCTATCTGGCCAACTATGATGATGATGAGACAAATATTTGAGAAGACCAGAGAATATAATATAGATACCTTTCATCTCTTTATTGCCTTTAGAACAGCTTAAGATAGCATCAATAGAGAGAAATTGTATCAAGCAATATCAGAGTTAAGAATCCCCAAGAAATTGGTCAACATCATGAGAATGACACTTAATAGAATAAAATATACAGTAAAGTTGGGATCAGAAGTATCAGATGCTTCCTATACTAAATAACAACTGAAAGAGGGTGACTCCCTGTCATGTCACCTGTTTAATATAGTACCAGAGAAAACAATTAGAAACTCTGGTAAACAAACACAGAAAACAATTTTTTTTAAAAATTTGTACAACTGCTAGCATTTGCAGACAATATCGATATGATGGTAAGAACTAGAGCAGCTATAGTAGAGGCTTTCTGTTCACACGAGGCCACAGCAAAAAACATAGGACTGTCAGCCAACGAGGCAAAAAACTAAATGCATGGCAATAACAAACAGAATTACAAATCCGCAACCACTGAAAATGAATGAGTATGAGTTTGAACAAGTGGCTCAATTTAAATATTTAGGCACAATAGTAAAACAATAATAACATAAAAATTAACATCAAAAATAGAACCAACATGGCTAAAATATGCTATCATGGATTGAGAAACCAGTTCAAATCTAAATACTTAAGTTATAAAACAAAAATACAATTGTACAAGACAGTAGTGAGACCAATAGTTTTATATGGCAATAATTGCTGAGCAATTAACAAGGCAGACAAAGAGATATTGATGACTTTTGAGAGAAAAATATTAAGAAACCGAACCTGGAGAATTTGTTACAACCATGAATTACAATCAAAATACAAAGAACCTAACATAGTAAAAATGATCAAGGTTTCTCAAATAAGGTGGCTAGGACATGTATTTTGATATAGTGATGAAAATCCTATTAAAGAAAATAACCTCCCAAACACTAGAAAGAAAAAGAGGAAGACCTAGAACAAGGTGGTTAGATAGAGTAGAAGAGTGGTTAAAGGACTTGGGAGTTAAAAGATGGAGAAATATAGCACCAAATAGATTTAGATGGGGTAAATTGACTGAGATGGCCTTGGCCGGTAACCAGCTGTATTGCCTAGGAAGAAGAAATATAGCAGTTGGAATATGCTAAAAAAATAAGGTTTGCAAGTACTAAAATTAATTTTATTTTAATATTTACAATAAAGATTGTTTTAGGTTACAAAATTTCTTGTTTCATAAAATCATAGATGGAACTAGCCTGAATTAACATCTCATTTTTAAACCTACTTTTTCTCCCAGCTGATACAATGAAAAGGTATGTATAAAAAATAAAATGGTGTACTACATTTTCAATTTTGTTGAAAAGATATACATGTCAATTCATTAATTTACAATAGAATATTAACTGATGGTCAAATTATTATAAAAGACAACTAATCAACAAAAAAGTAGAGAAATGAAGTAAATTTAAAGAAACCTGTACAAGTTCCAAATTAAGAATTTTATTGAAGAAAATGCATACACAAAATAGGAAGGGAAAAAAAACAATGAAAGAGTTCTCACTCAATTTCAGAAATAAAAATTCACAGACTTTTACAGATAAATCAGGAATACCTCAATTTAAATCCAGACCATATTTTATCCATATTATGCACTTTTTTACCAGAAAACTTACATTTTTTATCTGCAATGTCAAATGTTAGATTTTGTGAACAAAAAAATATCATTAAATGAGGACGAAATTGTGGGCGTTGCACTAAAATGTGAAATTTTTACAACAAATAATTGCAATAGATGTCAGAATTATTTAACTCCAATTTCAATAACTGATTACTGTTACGGACAATTCTGAGACTGGTTATTTTCCAAGTATAATGTAGGAATATTCTAATTTCTTGGAAAATTTTTTAACTTTTCCCTGCTTATAAGAGTAAAAATAAAATTCCCTGATAATCCAATCCAATTTTCCCAATCCTCCCTGACCTGTGGGAGTAATGCAATTAAAATTTGAATAAAAGGGGAGAAAAAAAACAACAGAATAACAAAATATTTCTTAGAGAAATTATTCGGAATAATAATTAATGGCAAATTTTTAATATTTTGTGACATTTTATTTACTTCTTTTCACGATTTACTTATACATGCATTATCTGTTAGAATGGAATAAAATAGAAACTTATGATAGTAATAAACTAAGCTATATCAATATAATTTTATACTTATCCAAAACTTTTTTTTTTACATTTAATTCTGCAAGCATTATCTGCCAGAATGGAATAAAATAAGAACTTATGGTAGTAATAAACTAGGCTATAAAAATACAATTTTATACCTATTCAAAACTTCATTTTTACATTTCCTACAAAATAATTTTTAAAAAATAAAAAAATTTTTGTAAATTGGTATTAATTGAAACTTTTGAACAAATTTTTATGACATAGCTTACCACATCAAAATCTATATTTTGATAAAGTTTCTCTTCTTCCGGAGTCACCTGTGCAACATCATCCATTATTCCAGAAATTAATATATTTCCTCTAGCATCAGTTAACGAACCCATCAGAGCAATTAAATCATTCATAGCTTCATGTCTGAAAATAAATAAATGATTAATTTAATCATTATTCAGGGCGCGTAGCCAAATTATTCAACAAAAAATAAGAACCTTTTAAGCACTTTTCAAGTACTAAAAAAATATTTCTAAGCACTTTAAAAAAATATCATAATTAGACAGGGTTGGAAACTCTTTGACAATTGATGGTTTTCATGACAATTGATGGTTCAAAAATCATGAAATTTTGAATCATGTAAAACAAACGACGTTTTCACACGCTACAGACTGACAATACGCCAAAATAGATTGGGGTTGAATTAATTATGAAAATGTTGAATAGAATAATGTGAACTGTGTCTTTTTGCATAATTTGAAGCAAAAATCAACATAGTAAAGAAAAAAATCTCATTTTGAAAAAGGGAAATTTAAGCACTTTTTAAAAGCATCCAATGAAAAAATCTCCTTTAAGGGATTTTAAAAATCGAAAATAAGCACTTTTTAAAAACACTACGTGCCCTGTTATTAACATTTCCCCCTAATTATCACTATATTATTTCAATTGCTAATGAATTTATTATTAACAGTTATAATTTTTGTTCTATTCTTTCTCTTTGCCTCACTTGGCAGTAGTACAATAACCTGACAATCATGAATCAGCTATATATAGGCAAATCTTTTAAAATATGTTGTGTTAAAATATTGGTTTCCTTTGGGTGGTAGAAGGGAAATAAAATACCTTCCCCGGACCAACAGGCAGAAGTCCAACCTCCTAGGAGGCTCTGGTAACCCTCTTCCATGAGTAGTGCAATATAAGCTGTTATAGATACTTATGGGCAAGTTTAATTTTCCTTGCACTATTGGACAAGACAACAACAACAATGTGTTAAAATTTAATCAGCATTAGTGAACAAGGAATTGAGAAACAGATATGGCTGCCATAATTGGTGTCATATGGTGCTTAAAAGAATTTTAAATACTTAAATCATTTTTATTGAATAATGTTAATGTTTTGAACAATTTATCAGGCAAATGAGAAAATTTTAACTGAAATTTTTCTTTTTTTCAATAAATGAAATTTAGGGATCATACCTTCTTAAGCAATTCTAATTTTGAAAACATATTTTGATCGCGAAAAAACAATTATCTATAAAAAAAAATTAAGTAAGTAAAAAAAATAAAAAAATAAAGCACAAGTTTCCCAAAGCCCCCACACAATAAAGAAGTTAAGTTCTTCAACTTTCAATTTCATTATTAAGACTTGAAGACAACAAAGCAGGAAATTCACTATTAAGAAACTTTTATGGTGCAAATAGGTTATACTTTCTAAAAAACAGGTTAATCTAACAAAAGAAGTCAAGAAATCCATCAAAAATAATGAAACCATTCAGTTCAAAAAAAGCTCTTTTTTTTACTTACACAGCCCCTCCAAAAACACCTGAGTGCAAATCCTTACAAGCGCATGTAACTTCAATGCAGAAATAGCATACACCCCTAAAAAATAAAAGAAAATATGTAGATCAATTGAAATAAGCAATTATAATAAATACTATCAACTATTTAACCCAACAAATGCAACAATTGCTATTTACATGAAAAATGTGAAAAGGAAAATCAGAAACAAAAATAATATATTTACTGGTTCTAAAAATAAAAATGTTGTTATAAATTAGACCATCAATTATAACATATAGTTGATGAACAAAAAGAATAAATTAATATTCTTTGAAAATTTCTTTTCAACGAGTATAATAAATGCATCACTGATATTTTTAATTTTTTTCAAATCTATAGGACATTTATTTTTTAGTTCAAAAGTTAGTTCATGCTTAAACATTTGAGTTCATTTAGGAATTATAGATAAGATTTTTACTCTATAAAACCATCAGGTAAAAATCTTTTAATTTTTTTCTTTATAAAACTTGTTTGCTTATTTCATCACTAGAAAAATTAGCTTTAGCTCAAATATTGTATCAGGTTTTTGGACATATTTACTTAGAATAGGCACATATTATTGCATATTTAGTGGGAGTAGGTTATTGCTAAATTTCTCTTTTTAAAATGATCAACTTTGAATTGTTTTTTCTTAGAAAATAATTCAATGAGAGTAGTAAGTTATAACCTCTTTTTATAATTCTTACTCTATTAGAAAATTTTGGGGCTAGTTTTTTTTTTCCTTTTTGACATTTTGAAAATCTGTTTTTAAATAAAAAGAATCAATAAATAAAAATTTCAAAAAGTCTACTCATAAAAAAATGTATCAGAACAAAAGGCACAAAACAGGAAAAAGATTTTCGAAATCAATGCAATAGATCCAAAGTACAGTAGCATGTACTTTGTTAATAAAAAGCAATTATTAAAAAAAAAAAAAAAAAAAAAAAAAAAAAAAAAAAAAAAAAAAAAAAAAAAATTAAAGTTTATTAAAGTTACAATATTTTGCCTTGTAATGATTTTTTTTTTTGTATTAATAGTTAAGACAGGCATATTAAAAGAAAATCCAAAATTTCAAGCTGACCCAAATGAACATTTTTTCCATTTAAATGATATAAAACATGTAACATTGTTTATCTTTAAATTAGCTGGTTTAAGTATTTTCAGCAATTATTTTATTACATTATTTTGTGAAAGTCAAGTATCAAGTTTTTCCAGTTACAAATTCATTTTCAAGAAATTTTTATACACTTAAGTTATAGCAACCTTACAGTATACTGTTCCATTTTACGTGAGTAATGGGGATATATGTTATGATTTGTGTGATTATTACATAATATATGCAACAATTGATAAAAATTTCAACAACAAAAAATTAAATATAAAATCATTCAAGAAACATAATATAATAAAAATTCATAAATTTGAATTTAAAATAAAAAAAGTACACTAATTGAAAATTAAAGTCAGATATTAATATAATTTACCTTAATCCATAAGTGATGCAAGGCTTGCTTTTACCCAGCCAATAATTATCTGAAATACAAATGTAGTCAACATCCTTAAAAAATTTATCTTTTTCCGCATACACAAGATCATCCAGTCCTTCAGAGCCAGATTCTTCCATTCCTTCAAAGCAAAACTATAAAAAAAATTCTATATAAGTATATAATAGTGCCTACAATACAATAAATATTCGCTTATTTCAGTATAAGAATGTTGATGTTTTTTTTTAATTTAAAGAAAAGGATATCTGAAATCTTACATTCGGATCAGGAGGAACATGGAGGTTAAGGCTACACAATTTCGTAACCAACTGCATGACAGAGGCAATGTGGTCATAACTACGCACAGGCCACCTTTACTTACCAGACAAGCCGATACCCATCGATCTGAAATTGGGTGGGGGGCTTCGAGCCACCATAGGAGATCGAACCCCAGATCTTCACAGTGACAGTTCAGTGCTTTAATTTAGGTTAAAGAAAATCTTAATTTTAATTTAAAGAAAAGAATATCTGAAATGCTTCATTTTACACGTATATAATCGATATCAAAATCCATTAAACGGACTAAATATGGATAAGATTTTTATATAGATAAGAGGAGTCAACAAAAATTTAAAATTTCTAAGAGCTAAGATTAATTTTTAGGAGCTAGTATGTTATAGAAATAGAGAGTAGTGCAGCAATTTTTTATTTTATGAAATTACATAAAAACTATTATTTGTTTCTAATTTAATACAGTCTAAAATTCAAAGGGTCAGGAGTATTGTATACAATTTTAATACAATGACAAGTATATAAGCTGTAGTCATATTATTTGCCTATATAATATTCAAATATGCCTTTATATTTTACATGATGAATGAATGATATGTAAAAGGGTGCATTCTTTTGAAAAGTGCGGTAGAATTCCTAAAAACAACAAAAGATTTTTTTCTTTCATGTAAGGAGAATGATAGTTTGATCAGCGTCAGCAGTAAAAATTTTCGTTATAAAAAAAGGTCAAGATTTTAAAAAGACTATAAAATCTCTCTTTTTTTTGATATTGATACCAGAAATATAAAAAAAGATTTTCCATATTGCTCTTTCCCAAAGCTCGCTTAAACTGAAAAATGTATTTTCCTCAAAACAAATTTGTCACAATAGCAGAAGGATAGTTATTTTTTTAACTCTTTTAAAATAGATAATATTTTATCCTCAATATTAGCAATTTGAAGGTGACTTTGAAAGTTATCATAATTTCGGACTCTTTGTAATATGCTGTACCCCATACTTCGACAGTAGGAAAATTTTTAAATTTTTTTGTTATCAACAAATTTATGATTTTCATGATGTCTTCTCAAACACAGACATTAATGCTATTTGCTTAAACAAAATTTCTTTTTTCCTGTGAATTTAAATTTTTTTCTTCTTCCAGTGAATAGTAAAAATGTCTTGTATAGAAATAATACTAAATTATGAATCATATTTTTAAACCTTTCTCTAAATTATTGGCTGTGATATTATGCTTAGCAAGCTTAAAAACAAGCTTAGAAAGTTTAAAAACAAGTAACAATGCTTTAGTAGCTGATGTGATGTCCAAAAATGAATTACTCAGTAAAAAATTGAAGGGGCAGAATTTTAAGCACAGCACAATAAAGAAACCATAAAAAAAGATTCAGATGAATATATAAAAAATAAAATAATAATAAAAAATAGATGACAAAGAGAGATTAGAATCTTTATTTCCATTCAAAAAAGTGAATTGATTTGAGTGTCTTGAAATGCTCCCACACTCACAGAAACTAATTACTGTTTTATTTAGCTGGAAAGATATTATTACTGATACTTTCCAGAAAAATAAAACAACAAATGGAATTATAAATGAAGTGAAAAGGAATGAACAAAACAAGCAGCTAAATAATCAAAATGATACAAAGCAGGTGCTTTGCTCCATTGTCAAATATTTGATAGAGAATTTACTCTTGAGCAGATGTTAATTACGCAAGAGATAATAATATATATAGAGAGAGAGATGTCACGTAAGATGATAATTGGGTTAGCTAATTAAAAAGAATGCATTTTCTACCAAGTTGAAAAAGAGGAAAATATGGTAATATAGTAAATTACACTGATCGAAAAAAATATATTTAGAAATGGGGTGAATTATATTTTTTAAAAATTCATTATTAAAAAAAAATTTTTTTTAACTGTAATTAGCAGCCAGCTCATATTTTAAAATCATAGTAAATTTTAGAGAGATAATTGTATTTAAGATGTGACTTTAAAAACAAAATATGTAAATTTATTTTAGATTAATTAAAATTCTCGAGAATAGTGTTTAGTTTTGTTGGAACATTGAATACAGTCTGTCCCTCTGGGCATTAGTCCCAGACTCTTACTAACTTTAAATTGATGGGTTTTTGTGCAACTAAATTTTTTTGTTGTTGCTATCTTTGCGATATGCAAATGCAGTGTGAAAGTGAGAAATTTCAGTACAATTTTGACCCTATGAAATTTAATAATACTTACCTTCAAGTTAACAGGCAAAGCATTACCAGTCTTTCTGTATGCATTTATTGCATAAAGCCAGCCTAAAACTGGGCCTTTATCGTCAGACGATCCGCGACCGTAAAGCTTTCCATCTTTCTCTGTCAGTACAAAAGGTTCTGTATTCCAGCCATCTTCCTATTGATAAATTAAATAAAATTTGACTTTTATGACATACTGTGAATAAGTTGATAGTGATTTTTTTCTTCAATAGACATTAAATTTTACCTTATAAGCTGGCTGAACATCAAGATGCCCATACACACAGACTGTTTTCTTAGATGGATCATTTCCTAAAGTTCCTAACAAAATAGGAGGCAGAGGTATTATCTTTCCATCAGGTAGTGTTTGTTTACCAATGTCAACTAGAGTAACAGTAGCACCTTCCTCTTCTAATTTCTAAAAGCATAACATTAGAAATCTTTATAGTATCATTGATTAGGCGAAAGAATCAAGATCAGTCCATACAGGTGAAATTTTAAAATTAAACAATATATTTTAATAATCGTAATACAGTGCAGAACCTTTTATCCAATATCCAGAAAAATTCTGCTTGGCTGATTTTCCCCACCATTTTGAATCAGAACAACTGAAGAAAAATATGGATATTCAAGTCATTCTTGAAGAAGAGGGACAGGTGGATGAATCTTTTCACTACATATGTATGGATTAATCTTCTATATTTCTTGACCATTAGGTTTCTGATAACCTTGACCATTAGGTAAAAAAGGGGTGGGGAAGCGAATTCTTTACTTTTTATGTACATTGGAAATAATTTGTGGTTTTCTGATAAGTTGTCATCAAAAGGAGTGGTACACTAATCTTATTTCCTCTTTGTTTAATGAGGGGGAAATGCATTGCATAAGCATGTCAGTGAACAAAAGATGGAAGGGAAATAAAAAAATACATCACTATATGAAGTAAAAAAAATCAGTGAACCTCATTAGCTGTTGTCAATAAAAGGTAAAGGAGCCACAAACTTGAATAAAATGAAGTGTACCTCAAATCTGAATTTAAAAATTCTCTGCAAGCAAATTATTGAATAAGATTGAATTAAGTTTCAACCCTTTCGTCGCAACTTATTTCTGGCATAATTTGTACAAAAATGACGGAATTTATTAAAAGTATTTTAATTTATATTTTATAAAATAGTTTTTTCTTAAAAAAAGAAAAGCTTAAATTTGGAACACAAGTGTTCTAGCTAAACAACAATTTAACAAGACCTGCCGATGTTATACTTAAAATTCCGTATAAAGTCACCATAAATCTATAATATTGGTGAGTTCACCAATTGAATGCCTTGAAACAATGCTCTCAGCTTGATAGAAAAACCAACTGCTGTTGTCAAATTCTTGATGCCTGAAGGTAAAATGGAAAGTGGGGCTGTGAAAAGCAGAAATCAGCCTCAATTAGATTGATTGCAAGGTAGAGCAGAGAAATTTCTATATACTTTTTGTCATCTTTTATGTAAATTTTGTAATAAATTTGTAAATTTGAAAAACTTCGCTAGTCAACCTTCAGTGAAAGTGGCCCTTCAATCAAAAAGGTTGTGCAGCCCTAAAATAGAGTCAAAAATGAAGTTCAAAAATTTGTTTAAAGGGTGAAAATATTACTAAGACACTATCAGACATCCTTATAAAAAATTTTATTTCATAAATAATTATTTTGGTTGACCTAGCAACTTCGTGCAAAAAAATGCAACTTCAGTCAAAGATTTTTATTAAAATTTTATTTTGTAACAAACTTTCAAGGATTTTTTTTACCAATAGACTAATCGCAATTTTTCAGTAATAAATTTAAATAAACTAAAGAATTTTTTTAATATATTTTTATTTTCTAATGACACAGATCAAGTTGAAGGGGATATTTCAGTATCGTGATCTGCTAAACAAACTACAATCCCTAAGATACCTAAATAATTTTAAACGGGGAATTTAAAAAAAANAAAAAAAAAAAAAAAAAAAAAAAAAAAAAAAAAAAAAAAAAAAAAAGCTAGAGGTTTACCCAGGGGTGGCTAAGAGTTATACCTTTCGAGTTGGTCTCGTTCCGTAATGTTTTTCTTAGTTTCTAGTTGCAGAGACTTAGCGATTAGTCTGCCACAGATCACAACACGAAATCACCCCAAGTAGAAGAAATAATAGATTACTTTGGCAGCCCACTGCAGCATCTTGTTTATTTCAGGACGATAATCAGGCCATGCTGACACACTTTTGATAGCTACAGCTTCCTTCAATCCATTAATATAATCTTTCTGATGTTCATCAACAAATCTATAAACAGGAATTTAATATTCATGATTAAATTGTATTTAAAAATAAATCTCAAAATCAGAAATTAAAGAAATGAAAAACTTGTGCAATTCCATTTACAAAAGAAAAATTCACTTTAAACAATTTCAGGCAAATACACAGGCATTTTTATAGGAGTTAGTTAGGGATTATCCTGTCAACCTGCCAACGCTCGCCAAATCATTTGGTGCTAGTTTTTAGGTTTGGCCCTAGTTTTTATAAAATTAACATTGTAAACACAACAAATTTATCAAATCATAATAATAAACAAATTATATATTATTAATAATAATCATATATATTATTATATAAATAATTTCGGCGGTCAAAAATCCTTGATAGTTTTTAAAGCACAAACAAAATGGTCGACGGGATAATCCCAAAGTGCCTCATTCCTCTTTGGGATAATCCAGTTGACCTACCAACACTCGCCAGAACCTTTGGCACTAGTTTTTAGGTTTGGCGAAAATGGTTGACGGTATAATCCCGAAGTACCATATAGTAATATAATTTAAAAATACTATGTGATGCTTGTGAAAAACAGAATGTTAAAATAAAAAATTTTATAATGTAAAAAAAATTCACAAAGATCTTTAAAAAAATTTTAAGCCCATCTTCTACTCCCCGTGGCAGAATCATAGCGACACGGCACCATTGTCGCAGAACGTTAGAGTTCATGCAGAAAGATTTTTCTTTTAAAAAGTAAAAAATTTTACTTTTCTTATCTACAGAAATTTACAGCGTAATCTTCGTATAATTAACCTAATTGACGTAAAATTTATGTATGATTTGAATCGTGCATTTAAATAATCACTTTTGGATCACTATTCGCTCAATTTACCCTAATAGTACCATAAATCGATGTAATGTTTCGATTATATTTTCAGCAGTTGTTTAAATTGATTTTCATACGGTTTTTAAATATCCCGATATATTTCAAACAATATGGAAAATTCGAGTCGTTCACTTGAGTTATTGGCAATACTTTTTCAATTACTTTTTAAGGTAATAATTCTTTTCGAATTTTAGGCAGTTATTGCTAATGATTTCTCCACAGTTTCTAAATTTGATATTTCTTAGGAGATATTATTTATTGCTTATTACAACAACTTGATCTCGAAAAGAAACACACATTTGAGGAGTCCGTTTTGCATGATTTCGCTGGTTTTTTTTGGGGGGGGGGTAATTATTGCTATAGATTTCATGATTTTTAATTATGTTTTTTTATTATGATGGGGAGATTTCAGTATCGTGATCTGTGGCAGAACTATAGCCAAATCTTAGAAACTTCCGGTAGGGGCCCGCGAGACACTATAAAGCACATCACTGAAATGGACCAACTAGAAAGGTATAACTCGTAGCCCCCAGGCAAACATCTAAATCGTTTTTGGATAAAAATTTGCAAGTTTAAAATTAATTTGTCACCTTGGCGATTGTAGTTGGCGTAACATATCAGGATACGGAAATATCCCCATTATGATGATTATTTAAAAAATGTGAAGAAGAAAATAATTCCTCCCCTCCCAACAAAATGTGAGAATATCACCCATATTGGAGTAAAACATTATTACATGCTCAATTAAAAAATTTATAGTTTTTTTTTTTTTTTTTGTAAACACAGCGCTTTTGTTAATTAAAATTAGTAACATATATGTAGTAACATTAAAAATATCTTGCAGAAAGCTATTACTGTTAGAGATGAGCTTAATATCTTTCTCGGACAGATATTTGGAAAAAATTCTGCCACAGGGTTTCTACTTATTTTTGTTTTTTCATTTCAGCAATAATAAATATAATGATAATTAGTGCCTGATTAGTAAAGAAAAATAAAATCGTTTTATTTCAGAATTGTAGGTAGTATCTTATAAAAAGGGGTGTGGGATGACCCAAGAAAACTTTTAATTCTCTAGAAACAGCATTTTAATATAAATTTAGAAAAACATAAGAGAATTAGAGCCAGATTGCAATATTTATTTTCCTTGCTTTAATGAATCAAATTATGAATTTCAAAAGAAAAAAAAAATATGAATCTCATAATATACTAAAAATTTCTTACATTAATTAATTTTTTTATGATTTAATAACACTTATATGCAAACAAAAAAACATTAATATTGCTTACTTAAAGATTTGTTCCATATTTTTCGCAAGCTTCCAAGTTTTCCAAAATATTTTCAGGAAAAAAGCTTGTTCTGGCTAAGCTTACTAAATATGAAATGAAACTGAAATTCTTAGCGGATCAGCTGATTATTTAGACCCCTTCGCACCGGCTGGCATGACAATGACAAGTTCATCAAATAAACAATAATTCCTGAATGCTTAATGCTCCCCGACGATCCCCTCTTTGATTGGTTGATAGGCCGGCATCCTGATGATCATTTCAAACTTGATCAGAACTTTACATAATTTTTTTCCTTATTGTTTTAAATGAAATAAATTAACAAATCAACTAATATTTTGATATAAAATACATTAACTACCAATAAATGTCTATTTAGAAGGAAAAAAATATCACAGAATTATTTGTCATTTTAATTCTTAAATTCCCAAATCAACAAAATAGCCTATCAAAACAAGGATAAAATCAATCTTTTGCTGCTTCTCGATTCAATCAAACATGGTTACAGTTAAGTATAATAAATCGTATGTCGATTATTAAAAATTTGAAAAATCCAGAAATCGCTTCAAATATCAAGATTTAATAACTTAAAACTTTTATTTTAGCACCAAGCTATGAATAAAAATTTGCCTAATTCGTTTTATTCGTTGTTTTTTTAAGAAATAATTTTTTTTCGTATCTTATTACTTACCACGACGTACTTTGGCATCAAATGCAATAATCCGGGAATGACGGCAGCGAAGGAGAAATTATTTGTATATTTTAAGTTAAATTGATTAGAGTGAAAAGTTGAATATTTAGATATGAATTTAATAATGTTTATACGAAATAACATTCTTAAAAATTCAATATACTTTCATATAAACCATATCTAACAAATTAATTGATCTCTTGACAAGTATTCGATCTCTAGATTTGTAGAGTTTGCGTACATAACAAACTAGACTAATTAAGAGACTATAGCGAATAAAATTCGTTTTAAATCTCCTTGTAAGCCAAATATACTATTATATGAGTTTGATATTATGTTGTGAATTCAAATGATCTTTTGAAAATATTTGTTTATTAATAAACTAAAATGGCGTCTGAAATCATAAGAAATATGGCAGATCACATAAAAAGTATTATTGTTAAAAATACTTTATTCTTTTTGTGTTTGTGACGCTATAAAAATTAAATATATTCATACATTTTGTTAGATTTTTATTGTTTTCACTTTTTATATCTTTCATTCCATTAAGTTGACTTTTAACTGACTAGTCTGTATTTTAAATAGCAAATTATGTCTTTGAACTCATAAATTTCAAATCTAAAAAATTTATGTTGTCATTCATTGTGCCAGAGTTAAACTACATAAGACCTAAAATTCTGTTTAAGTAGTTAATGTAAAGTTATGCTGTCCAATATTAAAGGAAGCAAAAAAGTTTCAAATCTTTTTACTAAAAAAGGATTTGATTTTGATTAAGTAGTTTTTTTCATATATGGATGAAAACAGAATGGAATTTCTGTTTAGATCATCTTTATATTATACCTAAGTATAAGCTTTAGTTTTAAATATAAAATTGTTATTGATTGATTTCTTGAAAATTCAACTTGATTTTATGTATGTCATGTAAACTGAGCTATCATAATTCGAATGCCTGTCAAATGAGCACTCAGCCAATTATTAGCCTTTTTTTTTTCTTACCTCAATGTTCTTTTAAAAGTCCTATATCTGTCACTATGATAAATGTAGATTAAATGAGATATATAAACTTAAGGATAAGAGATAGGTTTATATAAGTATATTATCTATATAAATATATGTTTGTTTCTGATTGCCGAATTTCTACAACTTTCTTTTTTTTTTGTTGCTAATGTTAATAAAAGTAAAATATAGGTTTGAGTACAAGGGCATGACACATAAATAGTCGCCAAGTTTAATTGACTACTTCCCGCCCCTGAGAAAGTAAGAAATGGATGAAATTTATAGCCACTTTCAAGTGCATTACTTTTTATATTTATACAAATACCAAACCCATCAAAAAATCACAATTTGCATTACAGAGAAATATTTTAAGATTTCTAAGAATTTTCATAGTCTCTAATTTTTATAGAGACCTCTTTTTTGTTCATCTTGTAATTATATTTGTCACCTACCTTTAGGTTATGTTTAATTCGATATAAATTTTGTGTTACGTTAAAAAATTTTTAAACTAATCAAAATTCATTGTATTTCAAATAGATATTAAAAGTCGGACTTGATGTATTAAATGGTTTAAATCATGTTAACCTTTTTATAAATAATAATGATTTGTATTCAAAAGTATTTTAGAGTGATAAAACTTAAAAAATCCACCCAACTGAAAATAAATTTGCGAAATTTAAATCATTGCTTTGACCTATCTTGTATTTTAAAAAAAAAAATTCTTTTTTTTTTTTTTAAATACTGAAATTTGTTGTTCCAATGATGCCCTACTATGCAGCAATAAAAAAAAATTTTCCCATTGATTTTTAACAGCTGCCAAAAGTTACCTTTAATAATAATTCAATATTGTGCTAAATACGGGTTAATATGTTAACAGGGTTTCCAATATCATTGCAAAATTTTGAAACAATGCTGAATGCACCATTTGCTCTGCCAATTTTAATAGATTTGTTAAAATAATATTGGCTTGAAGAAAATAAAAGGATTTTTTAAAAAAGATGCTATTGAAAACAAAAAAATTATCTAGATTTGAAAACAATTATTTTTAATATAGCAAAACATTATTTTCTTTCTTTCTGAAAGCATTGTTAGCTTCTCATGCTTTGATTTTTATTTAATATTTAAAATGATTTTCTGACTAAAATTCTTAATTTAATATTTTTTGTTATCGGTTCTGTTTAAATGTGTTTTTGCTTTAATAGTTTTCTTTCATTAAAGAAATGTATTGAAAAAAAAATTTTTTTTTTTAAATTTTAGTTTTATTTTGTTATTCAATTATTTCACTAAAGTTTAAAAAGTGCTCCTCAAAATGAACAAAATGCTCTTCTTTTAGTTGTTCAAATGTTATCAACCCTGGGGTTTTATATCTATATATATGTATTAAAAAATAATACTTTTAACTAAATTTATAACCTGAATTTTACTGATTAAAAATATTCATGTGATAGATAGTTTCTCAATATAATTAATGTGGTGTATATAACTGTTTTAAAGTGAGCATTGCATCTTTTTGTAAAAGAAAAAAATGAGACATTTATGCGCGTGTTGCAGTCAAATATATAATCTTAAAGTAGGTAAACCCTGAAACAGTCTTTGAACTTTGGGAGAACCTGGCACACAAATGATATTAGGCACCCCTGGATGTTATTCAATGTTTTTTCCAAAGTACTAGTGCCAGGGTTGGCTTTTTGAAGGCAAAAACTGGTTCTAATCGGTAAAAACCGGCAGAAACTAATCTATATTAGTTCTAGTAATTGCTTAATGACATTTTGTTTAAATTAACTGAAAAATGAATTAAGTGAAGAGAATCATATGGCTGTTTATAAAGTGACATACAGATATAAGTGACATACAGATTTGAACAGACACTTACTGATTATCATTCGCCAGCTTATATGCTGCATCCAAAGTATTTGGGATTGAAATTATCATGTGCTCAAGAAGAAAGTGCCAGAATTTTACTCGCCATAACCCAGATTTTGTACCTTATGTCATAGCTTTGCAAAACAAATTAGCCCCATTTCCTGAAATTTATTTTTCCAGTCAAGTTTTGACAACTACCTCAGCTACTTCATGGTTGTCCAGTTTTAAAAAATATGTAATAGTTGAAAGTTTCACAAATCTTGCTTGTTCCTTGATGGCAATGCCTGCTAGTTCTGCTGGACTTGAGAGTATCTTTTCAAATTTCTCATTTGTGCATAACAAATTGAGAAATTGTTCAGGTTTAGAAACTGCATCAAAACATGTCTTTTGTTATAGATTACTGCAGAGTGCAAACAATGTAATATTTGATTTTGAATGGTGATAATTTTGTAAATAAATTTTACTTTGTTTAGCATTTAATTGTTTTTTCTATGAATTATCCATTGTATGTCAATCTCAGTGCTTACTTTTATGTCATTTTCTGAATTTCTGCCACAAATGTGGCAGAAAAGGGTTTCTGCCATGCCAGTTTTAACCGGTTTCTACGAGTGGTTTTAACCACCTCGGGAGAAACTTGCCAGCCTTGACTAGTGCTGCCTTTTCAGTGTTTAAAAAAACAATTAATCTTTTCTTTTATAAAGGACAAAACAATTTTTAAGTAGCAGTGTGGCTGTACTTTTCAGAGAACGGCTATTTATCATTAATTATCAAAATAATCGCATTTTAATTTTAAAAATTTTTATTCAAATATTTTAAACATAGCGACTGGCATAACATAACCATTCCTAGCTTTTATGCCACAAAACTTCTACCGACTAACGATTTAAATTGTCGATAAACAATTTTTTCTCTCTAAATTTAACTTCATAGTATGTTGATGAGTATTTCAAGAAATTCACACAGTGTTCTACCACAAATATTCTTTATAGACTATTTTAAAATACTTTAATATATTCTTTTTTACTTTTTTTATAAAAATTTGTGTTATATTCTTCAACATTAAAATTTTGCCATTTTTCATCATTACAGGCTACATACAATATTACACAGATAAAAAAAGTAATATCTGAATGTATTATCTTCTCAAAGTGATGATGATCATCTATTAAAATCTACTCCACTTTCAATCAATATGGCTAGTGGTGGTAAAGAGTCTGATAGATCTGATGATGAAATTCAAAAACCATTTAATACAGGTAAAAAGAATTGCAAGAAAATTCTTAGCAGTGAGTCAGAGGAAGACAGTGATGTAGAAATAAGGCCTAAAAAAGTCAAGCCAATACAGTGTGAAAGTGAGGTCAATTCCTCAGCGGATGAGCTTAAAGAAATAATCTCGGATCATAGACTAGGTAAGCTTCTCTAATGCCTTGCATAAATATATTTCTTCAATTATATTGGCTTTAAAAAATGTTCAAGTCCCTTAGTGGACTGATAGTAAAGACCCCCATAGAACACCGAAGTTAAATGTCACTGACTGCGACCTGTAAGCGGGTGGGTGACCACTTTAAACATCCTGCTTAGGGACCGAGGGTGCACGGTGTCAGCAGGGGTTGAAATGTTTTTCTTCCTTTTGAAGTAATTATAATATTTTTAAAAAATAATTATAGCCTAAAAATATTTCTTAAAAATGCCATTTCATAGTAAAACAATATCAGTTTATCAAGTAAGAACATGGTGCTAAGTCCAGGTAAAACTGAAAAGCATTTAAGAATAAAAAAGATTACAGTGAAAGAAAACTACAATATTTATTAGATTACAGTTTTGCAGTTCTACATGTGCAGTTTTGTCTTTACAAATATTTAATAAAAATGTAAGTGAAATTTTTTGCCATAAAGATGTTAGAGAAATCAAAAATTGCAAAAAACTTAATAAAGATTGTACTATTTATTCCTTTTTTATTATTGTAAATCATGTGTTAACAATGCATATCATCTAAATTTGAATGATATGATTTAGACATATGAAAAATAAATTTTTGTAAAGGTTATAAACTGTAATCTATAGCTTTTGATTAGAGTTGCTGACTTTATATACACTGTTTCAGCTTTGAAGGAAAGTTTTGTCTTTCCTCATCAAAAAACTGTGTTAAAGTCATTTCAATTGCAATTTTTGTTGCTTTCAGTCATTTCAATTGCAATTTTTGTTGTTTTGTTTTTGTTGCTTTCAAATTTAAGTGTTCTAACATTTGGTTTTGTATTAAAATGTGTCTTGTGGTGAAGAAAAATTTTACAAAAAACATTTCGGAGTAATACATTTCTGATCAAAAAACGAACTTCTGGTGCTAAAGGTATTAAAATTTCAAAGAATTTATGTAAAGCGTACATTGGAAGAAGGTGAAGGCACCTAGTGTCTTTTAAAATCGCATGAAATTTTTGATTTAAAAGCTTAAAGTCGACTGTATGTACAGAACTTTAATATTTTTATTATTGTTGTTATTGCTTGCCAGGACAGTAGAATTTTTAGTAAGAAAAAGTGTTTTGTTAAGAGTTTCCTAGTGTTGTTTTCTGAAACTGATGAAGAAAATTGAAGAGAAAGAATAATTTAAGCTTGTACATTTAAATACCATTAAAAGAAATTATTTTTTAGGGTATTTAAACTATAAGAAATAAGGCAAAAAATAATTTTTAATTTAAATGCATATCTTTTGTGAAATTTATACATTAATGTAGTCTCACAATAATAAAAATAATTATTGGCTTAATGAAATTAACAAATATTGCAGAAGTTTTAAATTTGAAAATGGCTAATTTATTCTCCTGTCTTTTTAAATTTAACAAAGAAAAAGAATATACATATCATGATATCTAGTTTATTTTTTTAACTAGGCAAGTAATATTTGTTATATTTTTGTTCTAATTGTAATGAAAAGTGTTTTTCTGCATATTTTAGTGTTATTAAACTTTAGCTTTGTGTGATGAATTTAAACTTTATTGTGTTTTATGTTAAATGTGTGGTAAAAACCTGACTAACTAGAATTTTCAGAAATCTATGAAAAAAATTTCTTTAAGATAATCCATAAACTATCATAATATTTTAATTTATTTTCATGTTATCTTTATTATTTTTCTATGAGCATGTATTTTTTGAAATAAAATTAGTTCTACTTAAGCGTAATAATACAGTGGAACCAATTATAATTTATTTATTTATTTTTTATAGCTTTTTTGAAAGTAGTCTAACATAGTGTACTATTGAAATGTCCCGATTTTTTCTTTTACCCACTATAAAGCCTGTCCGGTGCCACTTTATTATTTTCTTTTTTTCTTTTAGTGCTGTTATGTAAAACATAAATTTCAATGTTCTCTTTTCCTCTTTTTTGCTTTGCTTCCATTTTACATTTTTTTTTTCTTTCTTTTTTTTGCAATTTCAGTAATTTTTATTATGAATTATTTTGCTGTTTATTTCCATTTTGCTATTTTAATTTTTATTTTTCCTTGATAACTTTAATTTTTATGGACAACTGTTAGTTTTTCCCTAATTTATCGTTTTTTAAATTTTTTATGAGTGTTTACTATGATGTTCTTTTCTTTTTTCCTGAAAATGAGGTAATGTTTAGAATTGAGATTTTAAGCTCTCAAATATCTGGAATTATCACATATTCAGAATTTACCGATCAAGTTTTAACTGTATACTATCACTCTATTTTTTATATCATGGGTGTATCAGCATATTGATAAAGTATTGTTGGTATGTTTTTGACTCATGATAAAGAAATTTGTAATAGCGCTTAAACTTCAATCTGTAGATTTTGATTTAAGTTGCTAAATTTGCAAACAAGTTTGTTTAATTTGCTTAGTGTGAATACATGTCTCAATTGTATTTTTTATTTATATATATAATTTTATATCTTAAAGATTTTAATTTATTGAATAATATTGATAAAAACTATCATATATATTCTTAATTGTAATATAAATATATTGCCTAACTGTCTATAAAAGTATGTTTAAAGCTATAAAAATATATTTCAGTTCTATTTCTAATAATAACAAAATTAATTGTTGCAACAATTAATTTTTTTGTCAGCAGATTCTAATTTGAATATCTCTGTTGCTAATATTATTATTAAAAGGTTTTAAATTGAACTTTATACAGTCTCTGGAATTTGTTAAAGCATAAAAAATAAATGGTTTAAGATAGGAGTGCTCAACCTGCGGCCCGCCAACCCTCGATGTGTGGCCCGCGGCCGCAATCTGAAAAAAATGAAGAAGAAAAAATTAAATATTTGTTTTTGAAAAATAATAAAAAAAAATTCGGTAATTTAAATTTACACTTTTAAGTTTTTGAAGCACCCAATCTCAATCAATGTAGTTTTTCGATGGTTAACGCTACAGATTTCAGCATAGTTTTAAAAATCTCAATATTTTTAATACATCATTATTATGATTTACAAATTTTAATAACCACTTTTGATGCTTTTCGTATGTACCTATTCCAATGACTTTTCTGTAGTTATTGCTACCCATTTTCAAGTAGTTTCTGAAATAGCGATTTTTGAAAGTTATGAAACGCTTTATTTGTGCAAACTTCATGGAAAATCTAAATGACTTTAGATCCTTTCTTCAACAGTTATTGCTGCACATTTCCGCCCGGTTTTTAAAACTTCGATATTTTAGCACGATATTATTACGAATCGCGAGTAAAGAATCGCTCATTTAGATAACCATTTTTTGACATGGCTTATTTGTAACGATTTTATCGCAAATCAAATTATTTTGCAATCGTTATTTTAGAAATTATTGCTACACATTTCTACAAGGTTTTGAAAGTACCGATATTTTTTATACGCTATTGCGACATTTTAATTTCAAATCTCGCATTTAAATTACATAAAATTTTGATGGACTTTATTTACTCCAATTTCATCTAAAATATTAAAGTATTTTGGTTATTGTTTTAGTAGTTATTACGTTTTCCCCGTGATTTAAAAAGATTATGATATTTTTAATACTTTGACAGCAAGCGAGTTTTGAATCGCGCATTAAAATAATTATTTTTTACGTGCTCTGTTTGTGCCGATTTTATCATTTGCGTTGTACCGATTTTAACACGAATTTTTTAAGAGGTTTTTCGAAAGTGTTTTTTCTTCTTTCCCGTTATTGCTGCATTTTTATTTGTGATTTAGAATATACCTGATATTTTCACACAATATTACAACTCGTGAAATTCGATTCAGTTTTAATTTTTTTTCGTAACTTAAAAAGTAACTACATATCTTAGCCAAATCAACACCTTCCCAGGAAGAAAAAAAAACGAGATGTGTTCATATTTCCGTTTTGCAAAAAAAATAATTCAAAGCACGGCAGAATACTTTAGTCCCATGAACACGTGCAAGTTTAACAACACACATCGAACCTATTCTTTTTGTTGTCACATGTAATTTAAAAGTCATACATCGTAATTTGTATTTACGCTATCTGAAAATTGCGTATCGCATTTCATATTAACATTATCGAGATTTAAAAATAATCCATCGCGTTTCGTATTTATGGGATTTAAAATTGCGATTCGTGTTCTGGCGTTTAAAAAATCATCCATTGCTACTTTTCTCGCAATTCATATGCACGCGTTTTAAAAACCATATATCGTGATTCATATTCATGCATTTTAAAAATCACGTGTTGTGAGTAGTCCTTTCGCAATTTAGAAGCCACACGATTCGTATTCACGCGATTTGAAAAACAAGCATCGAGTTTTTTATTTACGCAATTTAAAAATTACACATGGCAATTCGTATTCAAGCAATTAAAAAAATAACACATAGCAATTCGTATTCAAGCAATTAAAAAATAACACATCGCTATTTGTATTTCCGCGATTTAAAAACCCAGAAAGGAAGAACACCATCTAGGACAAATTCCAAAAATGATTATGTTATTTGCTCTAAGTTTAATACTACCCACAGCAACAGCTTCTGTCGAAAGACTGTTTTCCAGAATGAATTTGGCCTGTTCAAAATTACAGAGTAGTCTTTAAATACAATCATTACATTTTCATTTAATGGCTCAAAAAATATCACATGATCAAGTAGATAAAATTATCAAAATATTCAAAAATTTTGCAAATTACAGTATAACCATTAAGAAATTTTTTAAACCATTTTCTACCTTCTTGGAGCAGTTTATATCATTTTTGATTATATGTTGGGAAATGATTAACTGTATAAAAAATTTAATCGAGATAAGTTTCGTAAAGTAATGTAAATTTTATTGATTGTGTATTAATTGTAAATAGTAAGTGTCATGTTAAAAATATATTCGTCATAAAAAGTTGTAAACAAGTATCTTAATAGTTTTTTATTATTAAGGAATATAGTTCTTTAAAATTTAATGTGTTTTCTTTCTTTCTTTTTCTTCCCTCTCTCAGCCTCTTATTATTAATTTAAAATGAAAATGTCTGAAAGTTAAAGTACATTCCCTAATAAATGCTAAATCTTATTTTCCACTTAAGGGGTTTTGTTTTAATCATTTTTAACACTATAAACTTTCTTTAAATCAAAGTATTTAACTTGAACTTATATTAATAACTAGAATATTTTTTTATTTGAAATTTAATTCTATGAAGAAAAAAAATTTAATGTTAAAATTTATGTTTAAATGGACTTTTGTATTTTGTAATGTGATAAAAAAAATTTCAATTTTTCCATAGTTTTTTAATTATTTCAATTTATCTAAATTTTTTCCGATAAATTGATTCTGATTTTCGAATTCTGTTTTCCTTCTTAAGTAATCAGTTTTGCATTTTCTAATTTTAAACATTTTAAAGTATTGTATTTTCTGCAGAGAGATTACAAGGTTAACCGACAAAAAGAATTTAGTGTTATATAAACAATGATGCTTATATAACAATCACCACCAACAATTGCTTTCAATATGTCGGTCTAAACACTTGCCCTTCATTGGTCAATCTGCTGTGCATGTGGCCCTTCACTGAAAAAGGTTGTGCACCCCTAGTTTAAGAAATAATTGCCTCTTGCTGCCATAGAATTTTTTGAGGCTGTATCAATTGGAACTGTGATTGAAATTTAGTTTCAAGACAAGTTTTGGAAAAAAAAGTACTTGTGGAACGTTACTTGTCCTACCAGTTTTGATCTGGGTTTAATTGCATTACTAATTTTTGTTAAGTATTTTTCTTCTTATTTCAAATCTTATTTTTATCCAGAACAAATAATTTAAAACTCTATGTATCTCAAATACTTTACTTTACACCCAGACGCATCCTTGAACCATAGAGCTTTCGCCACCTTTTCAGTTTGTTTGGATGTGTTGGAAAGAGTATCTCAAAAACTATGGATTTTCTATAATTTCCATGCATTTGAATCTTTAATACAAATTTATAAACTACAGATTCTTTTAATTGGCTCTTTGATTTTAATAAAATTTGAGGAGTTTTTTTTTTTTCATTTGCAAACTTATTTATTTGTTAAAAGAAATGTTAGCAATATTTCAGATTTATTCTTATTTGCCCCAATTTTTAGATTTTTGTCCTGTAGAAAGGTGAGCATAAGACAGTGATAGCTCGAATTTGAAATTCACACTGCATAAGTATTGACAGGGATGAGATTCTTCCGCGAATTTCCGTTTTTTTTTTTTTTTTTTTTTTTTTTTTTTTTTTTTTTTTTTTTTTTTTTTTTTTTTT